TCAGACCCACTGGAGCTGGACCCTTGGTCATTTTCACTTTCAGAAGTGGCTCGAATGACTTGGACGGGTCTTCTCAGCTGACTCTTGGTGTGGTCTGGAGGGGTTGGGGCCTTCTGGCGAAACTTGCTGGACCCGAACAAGACCCTTCCTTGACGCGTCTTCGCTCTCTGACGAGCCAGCAGGACTTCCTCCAGGTCATCTGCATAAGAAAGTCTGAGCAATGTAAGCTGGTCCGCTAATTCTCGATCATCCAAGGTTTCCACGTAATGGTCCACGTGTTCACGCTTTACACTGGGGGGGGGTCCACCCTTAATATCTAGCTTGGCCCTGAGCCCTGCCACGTTCAAACGGTACAGATATTCCAAGGGTGACTCGTCGGTCCTGATAATATTGTCGGGCCACCGACACCCCCAAGCCGCAAAATTGTGCTTGGAACTCTCGCAGCAGCAGTTTCCAATCAACGCGCACTGTTCGACCTAGCTGTCGATACCAACTCGGAGCTGGACCTGTGAGCAGGGACCCAAAAATGAGACACTTCTCGCTGCCTGGTGCCTGGTCTCGGAGGAAAGCCGTCTTTACCTTAGTGCTCCAGCTTCTGGCAAGGTCTTCATCGTGGTCCCTTCCGCTAATTCCTTCAGATCCGACGAGGCCGATACCCTAATGTGTGGAACAACAGTAGGGGGTCCTCCTGCCGTAGCCGTGGCCACAGTCGCTCGCGCTGAAGTCATCGAGAACGTCAAATCATCTGGGTCGTATTCATCATGGGTTGACCCCACAGACTCCATGTCCACATCAGGGATATCGCCTAGTGGTCTTAGGCGCTCAATTCGCTGAGAGGACCTGAGGTGAACTGGTCCTTGACCCTTCGTGGTGTGTCCCCTGTACACTGCATCTTTTGTGGAGCCTTGCTCTTCAAGGAACTTGGTCATCGCCTTATCAAAGTACGACTGGAGTGCGCTAAGGGAAACTGACTCGGTCTTTGTTTCCTGGTCCGTTTTTGTCCCTATCAACCTTGACTCCACTTTGCACCGGGCTTCCGTCTCCTCCTGTGTTTGGCGCTGGACCCATGGGGTTGCTGTGTTCACATGGCCAGCTTCGCGAATTTGTGCTTCCAACAACGCTGCACCAGCTGGACCCAGTTGCATTCGGTCCACCGTATCCATCAGAGCCGACATCATAGATGAGGTGGCTGATTCGTATTGAGACCTTGGTGACGATTCACCGAATGACCCAGCAGGAGAGCCCACACCAGGATACACTACTCCTCCATCTTGACGGGGTACTTCCTTTGGGGGGAGCTCCCCCACTAACGTTTTGAGGTGACCATGCAGGGTCAATAAGGTCTTCTTCAAGGTCTCGAATCCGAAATCGAAGAGAGTCTCAGCGGTAAAGTTCCCAGCATCCATCCCAGCTTCATGTAGCAGATTCATTACGGCCTTGAGGACCTCCAGGTCTGTGGTCGTGGTGGGAAGAGCCGTTTTTGGACCGTGGACCTGGTCCATAAGCTTGACCTTGAGCGCCTTCATCACCGGGTCCTTTCGGAGAAACTTCTTCAATTTATTCCGATGGTAGGCTTCTTCCAAATCTTCTTCTTTCCAGTCCTTACTAGCCACGCCTTGGCTCTCTCCCGACTCGTCCGTCGTGTCTCCGCCTCTCGGTGCCTTCAACTTGGTATGCTTCTGCTTCTTTTGCTTGTTCTTGGGCACCTTTGGCTCTTGAGTGGTAGGTTGGGAGGCTTGCTTCGGGGTCCCTTGTTTTTTAGCTTTCGCTGTCAAACTTGGGACCCCTGGACCATAATATTTATTATGGCCCATGTTGTCTTCTTCAACGAAGACATAAGGGGGAGGATTTTGTGGTTTTCTTCATATTCCACCTTGACCTCAATAGCAGAGCTCCTCCCCGGGCTCTGCAGGTCCTCCGATGCTTCTTCCTTCTTGATCACTGGCGATCCGGTTTCCAGTGTCTTGGCCGTCCCTTGGTCTATCTTGACCGTTGTCTTTTCTTCTTTGTGGGACTCACGGTGAAATCCCGCGTCTCCCGAAGATCCGGGCACGCGCATCATTGTGGTGGAGTAAATTCTCAAACAACGTGAGAGAACCACAAACACACACAGCGCCGGACTGCCGAGGGTACTCCGATACCGTGTCGCGTCAACCTTGGGTCTCACCTTGTGTACCCGTCGGCTTGGCTGGTCTTGCTCCTCGTTAGACGCAAGAGACTTAAAGACTTGGTCTTTGTATAGGACTTGGACTTGGTGGTCCCCGAGTGGATATACTTCACTTGGGACCGGGTTTCTTGGGCTCAATCGACTTAGTCGAGAGCGATGCACCTGGTACTGCGTACCCCTTTGGTGGCTGACTGTTCTTGGTCCTTGGACCCCTTTGTGTTCTTCCCCGTAGGGAAACCGCTTCCTGTAGCGGGTCGTAGAGTGTTGACACTTACTTAACACCTCAGGCCAACTATCCTGAGGTTCAACTTGCGTTGCTTGAGCCGTCTAACACCTGCTGGACGTCGGGGGGCCAAAGGGTATCCCGCCCGGAAGAGGTGAATCGACGGAGAAGCTTAGGAGGGGCGCTTAAAGCTGCCACGTGTATTGCAAATTCGAGTGTGTTTATTTACCTTATTCCTTGTATGCTTTTCTTGCCTAACCCTAACCCTTTAATCTGGATAGTGCCACGTGCCGACTCCTGGAGGAAGAACTGGTTCCTTGGTGCCCTGTACTTTCTGTAATCTTCGATATTCTGTGTACCGGTTCTGCACCCTCGGACATTGGGCCCTGGTACCCCTGGGCCCCTGTACCCTGGGCCTCGGTACCCTGGGCCTCGGTACCCCTGGGCCCCGGTACCCTGTTACCCCTAGGCCCCTGTACCCCTGTACCCCTGTGCACCTGTACCCCTGGTCCCCTGTACACCTGGGCCCCCGTACCCCTGGGCCTCGGTACTTCTGGGCCCCCGTACCCCTGGGCCCCGGTATCCTGGTACCCCTGAGGTGCACCGGTCACCTGGGTCCACCTGTTGTCTGGGACCCAACTGTTACCTGGGGTCAACCTAAGCTGCCCTAGCAGCTGGTCCTTTGGTCTGTAGTGTAGGACATCCTAGTACCTTCTCCGAACTCGGGACCTTGGACCAGTTCGGGGCCCTGGTCACTCCCTGTCACTCATTCAAGAGAGTGACCGAGATCTTTCACGCCAATTATTATAATAACTACGAAGGGCCCCCATTTCTCTGGCACTTCTCCACAGCTGTCCCCTGCGCGCTGGTCTTCCGAACTGCGGCAAGACCCGTGCATTCTTGTCCCGTCTCCTCAACATATAAGTAGGTGTCCATGTGCTTGACGATCTTCCGTATTCACCACTCACCCGCCCTTTATTCACCAGTGGCCTCTTCCAGTTCTTTCTCTGACGAACCCCAGCACCTGGCCGTTGGTCTACCCCTCCACTGCCTGGACCTGACCCTGCCTTGGTTATTCCGACTGTAGACCTCGTCGGGGAGCCCCCCGATTATGCGAGTGTTACCCGGGCGTGGGAAGCGATCCAGCTGGCGATGGAACGAGCCCAAGTTATGGAGACCCTTGCTGACAATCATAGGGCCCTCTGGCAGGCCTATCAGGCTGAGCATCGCCGGGACCAAGACTTGCAAAGCCGAGTGGACGAGGTCATTCGATTTGGAAAAGTTGATCTTCCCCGGATCGAGGCTCGAATTCGGAATCTCGTCCGCGATCACGAAACCGACCAGCTAACTATTGCGGAATACCGAGATGCGATCGCCACCCGGAAGGATTATCGCCTTGAAGTTGAAGCGCTCGGTCCAAGATTCGGTACTGGAGGGGCCAGTATGAGGCCACGGTGACGAGCTTCACACTCCAGATAGAAGAGCTGGAGGCCAAGTTGGATACCACCACGGCCGATCTTCGGTCCACAGTATCTCAAGTATCACTACTTCGAAATGAGCTGGCCCGCTCTAAATCATGCTATCCGCCACCTCTTCATTGTGGATCTCGGCTCGACTTTCCATTGCTGATCGCAATAACTCGTCGACTTGTTCCCTTGCCCGGCGATACTGTCGCTGTACGCCATATCGCCACCGTCGGGGGTCACAGTCACGCCGCCTGGTACTACCCAGCGCTATAGTGGCCTCCAACGTGCTTCGTGCATCCCAACCGTGCACCAGATAGAGCGGAGTCTCCTTTCGGACCCGGTCCTGCGCCGTGTTCAGCGCAAATGTGAGCCGTTCCGCATATGCACCCTCCAGTTTCAGTGATTTAACTTACAAAGCAACATAACTAGTGAGTAAAAATGTTTTTAATGATGACGTCAGCCTTGTACACGTAACACTTACGATTGCACGGACGATAGGAACCCCAACAAAAAGTTATTCATTCGACGTCAGCATAGAGCGAAACATCAGAGAGAATTCCGAGTAGAACGAATAGTTCATGACAATCTGTACTGAGCGTCTTACTTAGCTAGCAAGCAGTCGAGCCATTTTCTTCCGCCCCTTCGTCATTTCTTGACCGTGATCCGCCATAACAGCCTCAAGTTCTCTCAGTGTCAATTCATACAACTTAATACCACGAGTGGGTTGATTTTGCACTTTCCAAATAAAAGGCGCACAACGTTTCGGGACCAGAGTTGCATGTCCTTTGCGCCTTTTAAATGTTTGGCACCTACATGCAAAACACCATGCTTTCAAAAAATTGCTCTTTGCATCGCCGAAAGAAGAGGTACAGAGAGGAGCTTACTTATATAAAATGTAGGAAGCCGATTTAAGACTTCAACTTGTCAAGTTTATCGTGGATACTCAAATGACTTGTACGTCGTAAACGAAATTCCATGACATATTTGATTGAAGCTTTATAAGTCGTTAGTATAAACACGTACTTCTCTAAGTGATTTCACTCGGCATGCAGATTTGATATTCCTCGCGGTAGCAAAGGCTGGTGTCGACGCAAATATCTCGCGCCAACAGCTCGAAAGCCAAGACTTGCCCCACGGCGTCCTTTCAAGAGTAATTCCTCTTGACAGAGCGAACGGTAGCAGTGTCAGTTGTTGCACCATTTCCAGCCATTGTGATGGGAAAAGTAGTTGTGGTAGCAACTGAGTCAGCTGCCGTAGCGCTGGCTGTCGTAACGGTAGTTGCCTCAGGTGGTGCGGTGGTGACGATCGGAGAAGAGGTTGTGGTGCGTGGCGCTACCGTGGCAACGGTGGTACTACTGCTCGAGCTCAGTCCGCCACGAGAGGCCGCATTGTACAAGGCCCAAGAGCGGGAGAGACCGTCGTCCATAGTAGCCGTTGCCAGCTTCGTCAGTGCATCGGCTTGGTTTATGACGGCCTCGTTCACAAGCAACAAAGACAGCCAGGGGTTCGTGGTGTCAGCACCCGTAACAATCGCCTCCTTCGATAGAATGTCGTCCCATTCTTGCTGGACAAACGTTGCCGTGCGGACAAGCCCGTTGATGGGCGACACCGGGATCATTTGAATGCCGTGGATGCAGTACTTCTCGGCGCTGAACCAAGTCGCGTAGTCCGCCTTGTTGTCGAAGAAGATTCCCGTGACGTGGTTGCGTACGAACTGGGGCGGGTGAATCGTGTTGTCTGACGTCATGAGGAAGTAGGTGCGCACGGCACGAGCGTTCAGGCGTAGCATGATGCTACCCAGGTCTTCAACAGCCTTGTTTCCCGTCACCTTGCCCCACAGCATCATACCGTAGCTAAAGTTCACGTCCTCTGATGAGCTTTCCTGGTCCTTGCCGTCACCCATAGGTGTCACACCGTGCGAGTATGAATGGCCCAGATACCAAGAAAAGTGGCGGAACTTGGGGAAGTACGTGTCATCAGCGCTTGGGTTGGCGACGTCACGCAGCATCGTCCACACCATGGTCTCAAGCTGTGCCATGCCCGACCATGACGGGTCCAGCTTCTTCAGAATCGCCGATGCTGTCACCCAGTAGCCATAATGATAGTGGTGGTCGTTATAGATACCGTTGCCGAACTCAACATTAACGTCATTGGCAGCAAAAACCTGGCTGGTCACGATGCCCTTGTAGGCGGTCTCGTAGACAAGAGGTGAGCCCAGCGTGTTACTCAGGAACGGCTCGATCAATCTCTCTAGCTTCGACAGACAACTGCTCAGCAAAGTTGTGTCATCGCCCACGATAGAGCTGTCAGCGGCCATCAAGCAAAGTGACGCGTACTTTTGATACGCCTTGCCGTTGAAGTACCAGCTACCGGTATTGAGGTTCCAGTCGCTGTCGATATCACTCTTCAGTGTGGACAGAAGATTAATCTGCGAGACCATCTCAGCTGACGGCTTGTTGGCCGGGTAGAAGTCCACCTCGTCGCCCGCTTCGTCCTCAGTCAAAGTCCAGCTCGAAGACGTAGTCACTTGACCAACCATCTGACCGTGCGTTGTCGAGTGCACGACAATGGCTCCGGCGGACTGGGCAGTGATGGCGTCTTTCATCGCTTCCACTTGGTGGGGAAGGGCGAAGTGAAGAAGCCCCGTGCTGTTGCATCCGGCGCCCTCAGTTTCCCACTGGAACGAATAGGTGGTGCGAGACTCCATGAGGAAGTTGCCTCCACGGATGATGCAGGATGAGTAGTCATCGTATACGTTCTGGTCGCCGCTGTCAGGAATGATTGCCACACGAAGCGTACCGGTGTAAGCCGCACTAGCCACCAATGCCGATCCCGTAGTATCAATTGAAAAGGATGCGCTAGTATCGCTGGAGTAGACCACCCACGTCTGCTTGTTCGGCAACTGAATGATATACTTGCCAGGCGTTGAGCTATCCATCATGGTCATGGTGTGCTCGGAATTGATGCTCGCGGTGAGACCGGAGTACGTAGCCGACACGAAAGCCATGCCGTTGACAAGAGCCGAGTCCATGCAGCTGTCACTGCCCGACACACAGGTGCGAACGCTGACGCCCATATCGCTGAACGAGTAGATTTCATAGTCGGGTTTGGTCGACATGAACTCTGTTGCCGAAAGCGTGACATCGTTGTGGAATCCGTGCAGGTAGTACTTGACGACACCGTCAACCTCGTTGGCCATGCTACGATACGAGTACGAGTAGCAAACTTGAAGGCCATAAGGTGCTTGCTTGGGCAACTTGAGTGCGTACGGGTTCGACCACGCCGGGTTAGCCACCGTATTGATGTCTTTTGGGGTGGTGTGAATGAGGTTTCCCCACCACTTGTTCGTGGGCAACGGCCGCGTCAGCAAGTCGGAAGCCACGTTGATGATCGGTGCCAAGGTGGTCAGAGTATCGCGGCGCTGGAAGAGATTGGAAGGCGCATCAGTCGAAAACGGAGCGTGATAGTTGCCACCCTGGATTTGTTCTCGAGCAGCGTGTACAGTTGCTACTTGGTCACTGTTGCCCTGTTGAGACATCACAATGTCCGCCGCTACGGCTGTCACTGCCGCTTGAAACAGTTGCGAGACCTTCATCGGTGCGACTGACAAAACAATGAGATGTGATGTGGCTACCGGTTGCTGTTGTTGCTACTGCTGCTGCTGTTGTTGTTGTTTTTGGTGCTGCTGCAGCAAGCCAAATTGGAAATGAGTTTTGTCTACGAGCGCGAAGCACCACCAAATCGACAAGTCAGATGGCAGTGAAGATCGAAGTCAACATGAGAAAAGCTGGTGTTCGTGTAAGGTTGTTGGTACCAGTTCTGAACTCGTGACAAGTACGACCCACTAAGAAAAACGCACAAACATGTCGACATTTTTGCACACCTTGTGGATACGTGCATGAAGGTGACCAGCCAGTACTCTTTTGAAGCATCTGACGTTTTTGACTCCTACTAAAACGACGCGACTCAAGTTAATCTTTACCAACTTCACTCGAGACTTTCTACAGCCGCAATCGCCACATCTTTTTTTGTTGTCAGCTGACCATTCGTTGTCTGTAGTCAGACATTTTGACGTGCACTGAACAGTTTTTATCGTCATTTGGAAATAGCTGCATGAAGCCAATCAGTTAATTAACGCTTTACGAGTAAAGTGACGTTACGCTTTTCTTATTTTACGCATCAACTTTTTTGCACGTGCATAAAAAGCTGTTTATTGTCACTACAATCGCCAAGCACTTTTTGGAGCTTCTTTTTCTGTCCAGTGGGGGGGGGGGTCTCAGTATTAACACTGAGACTCTGAGACTTCAAAACAGGTGGTTTTGCAACCAAGGAATTAATTTCGCGTCAGATGTTCAGCTGAAGCATATCAATATCTGTGTTACTGCTTTTTGGCGCTGCGCAAAGAGGAGCTGCACTGCATGCCACAAGTGATACTCACCCAGATGGACTTCACTTGATGCGACTGCCACATTGGAACAATTTAGACCAGCTATGATGTAGCTGCACAGTTTTCATGTTTGTCCTTACATAAGTAATACGTCATAGTATTCTTGCATGAAACACATCTATTGAGCACAATCTTGGCGCTGGATTCGTCGTCGGCGAGCTTTCTGTCCAAGGTACTGTAGACAGTATTTTAATTTTTCATAATATCAGCAAGCATTATTGTCAATTCTGTATTAGTTGTATTGTTTCAAAATTAATTTTTTCAGGGTACTCTTTCATTCGACTCAACTTCTTGACTCGAGCAATGGCACGCCGACGGCCGCCGCTCCAGCAAAAGGGCATCAAACGACTGCGAGATGCATCCTCTGACTATCCCGATAACCGCACTAATGCTCCACTGTCGTTTTCTTCAGATGCTGTAGATACTGTGAAAAAGCTGCAGCGTGCGTGCCAGGAGCTTCAGCTGTCGAGTCTCCCGCCTGTGATGACAGGGCGCGAGGACGAGCGAGACGAGATTTATACGGCACTGCGCTCCTCCATCGAGCAGCAGAGTGCCGGAGGTCCTATCTATATCAGTGGCCTCCCAGGTGCAGGAAAGACGTCCATTGTAAAGGAGGTTATTCGTATGCTGGAGTCGCAGCGGGATGCCGGTGATCTGCGCAACTTTGCGTGGGTGGAGGTCAATGGCCTGCAAATGCCACGACCTGATGTCGCTTATAGTGTACTATGGAAGGCTTTGCAGTCGCCTGGAAACGAAGTAGATCACAAGCTGCAGCCGTCACGCACGTGTATGAGCGCTGCACGTCTGTGTGAGGTTCTCCAGCGCGAGTTCCACACCCAAAGCTCTGCACGCCCCATGCTCTTGGTACTGTTAGATGAGATGGACTTCATGTTGGCTGGCAAGAACCAAGTGCTGTACAATCTCCTAGAGTGGCAAACGTCTGCTACAGCCAAACTCGTGCTAGTTGGCATTGCTAACACGATGGACTTGCCGGAGCGACTGCCGACTAAAATCCGCAGTCGACTGGGTGGTCATCGCATCACCTTCCCAGCGTACACAAAGGCTCAGCTTGAGAATATTATTCAGCAGCGTCTGCTACAGCTAGACATTTTCAGTGAGGAAGCTATTCAGATCTGTGCCAAGTCGCTGGCACACCAGTCGGGAGACGTGCGTCAAGCACTATCGCTTTGCCGGAAATCAGCTGAAGTGTGCTTGCACCGGCTTACCGCGTTAGACCGTGATGGGGCAGTTGAAGGCGGAAACGAGCAATTTGTGACGGGTGAAGACTTACACGACGCTCAACAGGCAGTGTCGGTGTCAGCTCCCATGAGCCGTCTGCGCGCATGCAGTAAGTTCGAATGCACGTTCTTGGTTGCACTTCGCATGGAAGTACGTGCGAATGCAGCTCGCGGGATTAATAGGAGTGGTGCAGAGCTGGAAGCCGTGATCGAGCGTTTCGCAATTTTGTGCAAGACGCACTCGTTCGCGCCGATTCCGCGACTGCGTGGACTGTTATTTATCTGTGACGAGTTAGAACGTTCGGGGGTCATTAAGCAGATCTCGACACACACGTCGTCTCGTTACCCTTTGCTGGAATTGCGGTGCTCACACCAAGAACTTCAGGATGTCTTCCTTATGCACCCTATCGGCATCCAGCTAATTTCGTAAATTTGTAGTACTTAACAACAAACAAATTTTACTGGACAAGACAATGACGTTATTGCAATAAAGCACCCGTCGCCAAAGCATAAAAATATCTATGATATGTTGACAGTAAAAGAGGAAATATACTTTGGTGGCGGTTAAATTCATATGAGTCACTTTTTGTACCATATTTAGGATTAACCATCTAAAAGTTAGTAGATCGACTTTTTTTTCACATAACCACTTAGAATTGATACTTAATCAAATTCTAACAACCAGCAATCAATACAATACCAATCCATCGTTTGTCTAACCACTTTGCTTCAAAGTACGATCGAGTTTCTTTTACAAAAGGGTGGTGTTAAAAAACACCAGATGAAGAGTGAGGAGCTTGCGCCCCTCGCAGCAATAGGTCAGTAAAATCCTAATAGAGCTGTATTGTTCTTGTACCCAAACAAGCTAAGCAAAATGTGCTTATCCGCCAAAGCCGTACAGGGTACGTCCTTGACGCTTGAGGGCGTATACGACGTCCATTGCCGTCACGGTTTTACGACGGGCGTGCTCCGTGTAAGTGACCGAGTCACGAATGACATTCTCGAGGAACACCTTCAGGACACCACGAGTCTCCTCATAAATGAGACCAGAGATACGCTTTACACCACCACGACGTGCGAGACGACGGATAGCAGGCTTGGTAATGCCCTGGATGTTGTCACGAAGCACTTTGCGATGACGCTTAGCACCGCCCTTGCCGAGTCCCTTGCCACCTTTGCCACGTCCAGACATTGTTTAGTCGAAGTTCTTGAGAAGTAGAAGAAAGTTGTTGTTTCAATCTGAAAATTGAAGAATGAGAGGCAAGCGATCGCGCTTTCAGAGGCATTTTCAGAGGCATTTGTCAAGGACAGTCTACCTGACTAAGTTTGAGCTAGAAGACACCTACCCCCTGATCTTACATTTGTCCTCGAGGGTGTGTATTTCGTGCATTGATTGGTCAAACCGGCGTCAGTTCTCCAACACCATTGCTGATTGGCGGAGAGCTATGGATCTCTGTGACTGACAGAAGGCGGGAAATTTACTTACAGACGCCGGTCATAAAGAAGCTCATTTATTAATTCTCCTTCTAGTTCTCAACTTCAAAGTCAAGAAATACTATGGCTCGTACCAAGCAAACCGCTCGTAAGTCCACTGGTGGCAAAGCCCCGCGCAAGCAGCTCGCCACCAAGGCCGCCCGTAAATCGGCACCTGCCACTGGCGGTGTCAAGAAGCCGCACCGTTATCGCCCGGGTACGGTCGCTCTACGTGAGATTCGTCGCTACCAGAAATCAACGGAGCTTTTGATCCGTAAGCTTCCTTTCCAGCGTCTGGTGCGTGAAATTGCCCAGGACTTCAAGACGGACCTGCGCTTCCAAGGCTCGGCCGTACTTGCCCTGCAGGAGGCCGCTGAGGCTTACCTCGTTGGTCTGTTTGAAGACACGAACCTGTGTGCTATTCACGCAAAGCGTGTGACGATTATGCCAAAGGACATCCAGTTGGCCCGCCGCATCCGTGGCGAACGCTCTTAAGTGACTTGTCTCTCGACTAAGCAGTTGTAGCTTTTGATTTGACGTGCTCACTTTGAGCGTGTCTATTCGTCTTAGTCGATTTAACCTCCGAGGTTGAGTCGCACTTTTCATTCTGGTGTTTTTTAACACCACCCATTTTGAAAGATACATTATCGTTAATGTAGGAATAGTATAAAGGTTTTACGATCTTCACAGGTTGATATGCTGACTTATTTCTGTGGCATTGAGGGTAAAGCAAATATATAATAAAGTTGTGGAAGAATCAAAGACTTTCTGGACGTTGTATTGCTAATTATACTTTTATCGTCAATCCTTAATTGTAAACAGCAATACAAATTAATATAATTGCGTCCTTACGAAAAAAAGAAGGTACCGACACAATTATGTTGAAATTTAAATTGCTGATACAATTTAACTCTTCGCTTTAATCAGTCAAGTGTTAATAGTAATGCTTTATTAGATTGTGGCAATCAAAACTTCGGAGCTTTTAAAATAACAAGTAGGGACCATCACCGGAAAAAGTGTTTCATAAACTACCTCATGTATTGCTGATGATTCCATTTATGATGTTGAATTCCACGCTACGAGCCCCCATTGTAGTGCATGGATTAACATTCTTACACGAACTTACTTGTGTGACCATACACTAATCGAAACTTACAGAGTTTGGTCGCATCAAATAAAACAAAAGCCAAATTGTCATGCCATCCATGTCGCCACCAGCCAGTATCATTCCGACATTTCTTATAAAATGGGTGGTGTTCAAAAACACCAGGGTAAAATATAGTTCATCTGCTTATGTCATTTCTAGGACAGCCGAACAACGTGTCAACTAACACTTAAGCCGACGTGAACTTGGTCACAGCCTTTGTGCCTTCTGACACGGCATGCTTTGCCAGCTCACCCGGTAGCATGAGACGCACAGCCGTCTGGATCTCGCGGCTCGACAGAGTCGACTTCTTGTTGTAACGCGACAACTTGCCGGCTTCCGAAGCGATGCGCTCGAAAATGTCGTTGATGAATGAGTTCATAATCGACATACCGCGCTTACTGATGCCCGTCTCGGGGTGCACTTGACGCAGCACTTTGTAGATGTAAGTCGAGTACGACTCCACACGTTTCTTGCCACGGCCCTTGCCCTTGCCCGTCTTGGCAACGGTCTTTGCAGTTTTCTTTGAAGGTGTCTTTGCCATTGTTGCTAGAGTAGAGTAGTAAGTATTGAAAGCTTTGACTGTACGTGAGAAATCTTGGAATGGGCGTCTTCTTCCAGCGCTACACCTCCGTTTTCCCGCGCCATTCTTACGAAGATACTGTGTCTCGAAATGCTGGCATCTTTTCCTTCAGGCTCGCTTGGTGAAAGCGGATTGGTGGAACAGAATCTTCTTACTGTTGATTGGGTAGATGCAAAACCAAACAACGTCTTTTGTGTTGTCCACCTAAACTAGATCCTACATTAGGAATCCATATGGTACTACATAAAAAAGGCATCATCATGAGCCACGCGGCTAATGACTCGAGCTTGATTTCCAATACAAAAGACAAGTGAGAAGCGACTGAGGAGGGATTTAATGATGAAATTGGGAGCGAGTCAGGACACGTACGGGACTGAGAGTGACTCTGGACGGAGTACATCGACAATGACTATCTCGTCTGTTATGGCTGACATTAAAGAGAAGTTTAAGAACGACGAGGAAGACTTGGGTACGACGTGCGCGAGAAAGATCGTCTTTTGAAGGCTTTAAGTCGAGGGATTTCCCTCCTCTTTGGACGCTAACGTTCTTTATTGTATACAACTGACTGCTATACTTTTCTTCATCATTTGTAATTGCTAAAGTATCGCCATTCCAGGGCCTGGACAAGGCCACGGTGCTGCAGGAGACCAAGATCTTTTCCGATGCCAACATGGTGACACGCCACCCTAAAAAGTGCTGTCAGCTGATTACGAAACTGCTGCATATTCTCACACAAGGAGAGCCTTTTACTAGTGCTGAGACGACCGCCGTCTTCTTTGGTGTCACGAAACTTTTTCAGTCAAAAGATGCCAATTTGCGTCGTATGATGTATTTGTTCATTAAGGAGGTGGCTGAAGCTACTGCTGCCGATGAGGTACGTACATAGGACTACTATCTACTGCTGCTACGATACGCTGACGGTTGATTTATGTGGTGGGTGGGTTACACTTAGGTGATCATTGTAACCCAGAGTCTAACCAAGGATATGAGCTCGAACGTGGATCTGTACCGCGCCAACGCTATCCGAGTACTCTGTCGGATCATTGATGTACGTACAAGCTGCATGTATAGTAGACCTGTTGCAGCAACTGACCCATGGTGCAATGCTATGGGTGGAAATAATAGGGATCCATGTTGAATGCTATCGAGCGATACATCAAGCAGGCAATTGTAGATCGTAACGCTCTGGTTGCTAGCTCAGCGCTGGTTGCTGGTATTCATCTGATTCAGAACAATTCAGAGATCGTGCGTCGCTGGGTGAACGAGGTGCAGGAGGCCGTAAACTCCACTCACGACATGGTCCAATACCACGGCGTTTCACTTCTTTATCAGATCCGGCAGCACGATAAGCTCGCAGTATCGAAGTTCATCAACCAGCTCCAGAAGACCAACTTGCGCTCTAGTCTCGCGACGTGCTTGTTGATCCGTTACACGGCAGCCCTACTGCGTGAGAACGCGAATGGCCAGGATACAACACCGCTGTATGGGTTTCTACAAAAGATGCTCAGGCAGAAGGATGAGGTACGAAATGCGAGGATCCGTAAATGGAAAAACCATACTGTTGTTCATCCATGTTGTTATATCGGTCAAAGATTTTAATCGTAGCTATGTTGTCGTGATCGCTGTGGTAGATGGTTATCTATGAAGCTGCAAAGGCAATGTGCGCCCTGCCTGTGGATGCGCGTGACCTAACGCAAGCAATCGTCGTACTACAGTTGTTCTTGGGATCGTCAAAACCTACGCTTCGCTTTGCTGCTGTGCGGACACTCAGTCAGGTGGCGTTAACGCAGCCCATGCTTGTGACGCGCTGCAATGAAGACATGGAAACACTTATATCGGACTCCAACAGATCCATTGCTACGCTGGCGATCACTACTCTCTTGAAAACTGGTAGGTGTTTGCTCACAGCAATCGGGCAACAATTTTGCATCTGTCAGACTACGCAGTGGTGGCGTTTTTACGCTTGCAAAAGACATAGGTGGAATTACAACCCGCTCGCTATTCAACTAACTGAACTGTTTTGTTTGTCGTGCCTGAAATGTAACAGGTGCCGAATCAAGCGTGGATCGTCTAATGAAACAAATCTCCACGTTCATGGGTGACATTGCCGATGAGTTTAAGATTGTGGTGGTAGAGGCCATCAAAAACTTGTGCATAAAGTATCCTCAGAAGCACCGGGTATTGCTAAACTTCCTGGCCAACTTTCTCCGCGAGGAGGGTGGATACGAATTCAAGAAGACGATTACAGACGCTATTTTGTTCTTAATCGACCGCATTCAGGAGTGCAAGGAGACTGCTCTTCTTCATTTGTGTGAGTTCATCGAGGACTGTGAATTCACGCAGCTATCTACCAAGATTTTGCGCGTTCTGGGGCAGAAGGGTCCAACCACGTCGGCACCGGCGCGATACATTCGTTTCATCCGCAACCGTGTCATACTTGAAAATGCCCCCGTGCGCGCTTCGGCAGTTTCAGCCCTAGCTCAGTTTGCAGTGAGAGTAGGATCGCTCCGGCCTAGTGTGTCGTCTCTTCTGCAGTGCTGTAAACTTGATGATGATGACGAAGTTCGCGACCGGGCTACAATGTACCTTGCCGTCCTGGAGGGTGATGAGGTGACCAGCCGCACTCTGCTTGTTGAAGACTTTCCGATGAGTGTCGCGGCGCTTCAGAAATCTATTGACCAGTATGAACTGCGCCCTTTGGATGGCCCACTTACCTTTGAAGCCCTGCCACACGTTGAAGTCGTCGAAGATGATACCGATGCAAACACGGCTGACATCGAAGATGACGATGAAACCATCCAGGCCGATGCTGCACCTGAGCCTCAAGACGTTGCAAAGGAGTTGTACACGGTACGTCTTTTGGTTTCCATTTCAGCATCCGCAGGGTAGATTTTTACAATTTTTTTGCCCGGCTGTTATAGATTCCCGAGTTTGCTGAGCTAGGTGCGCTTTTCCGGTCATCGAAGCGGCTGGAATTGACGGAAGCCGAAACCGAATACGTTGTCACTTGCACGAAGCACGTGTTCGCCCAGCACATTGTACTCCAGGTATGTATGTACACGTCGATGTATTGTGAGGGATTTGTTTCTGACGCCATTTTTTGCGTCTCGTGACAGTTTAAGGTGGTCAACACGGTGAGCGACCAGCTTCTCACGAACGTGACCGTCGGCTTTGTGATGGAGCCGGAAGACGTGTGGCAGGTGCACTCGGTTGTCTCTCTGGACAAGCTAGCGTACGGCAAGACGGGCTCGTGCTACATTTGCTTGCAGTACACTGGAGACGGTGTTTACCCTATCGTCCAACTTGCCAACGTTGAGGTACGTCTGCTAATGGATCACTTCGTACTACTGCTACTTTGCTATTATTTACTTTATATCCATTGCGCGGAGTAGTTAAGGTTTAAGGTACATGAGGTGAATCCATCGTCTGGCGAGGTTGAAGACGATGGTTTTGATGAGGAGTACCCGATGGAGGAGATTGAAATCGGTGCATCGGACTTGATGGCCAAGGTTTCTGTAAACGACTTCCGCTCGGCGTGGGAACACGTTGGTGACGGTGCCGAGGTGAAGGGAAGTTATGGCCTGAAGTACAAAAGCCTTGTCGAGGCTGTGGCAGCTGTCATCGAAAACCTCGGCATGCAGCTTTGTGAGAACACGGCCGTGCCACAGCCTAAAGCCAAGGCACATATTCTTCTGCTATCAGGCGTGTTTGTTGGCGGCGTCAAAGTGCTGGTGAAGTCAAGAATATCGCTGGATGAACAAAGCGGCAGCATGATTCTGCAGGTACGTTTCGCAAATCGTGAAATTATCGCTCTGCGACTCATTTTTACTCCCACCTGTCTTACATTTGTGCAGATGGCAGTGCGTTCGGAGGCGGAGGAAATCAGTCAAACCATCATGGACTGCATTAGATAAGACGCCTGCTTTCATCGTCGGCGGGTTCCGGCAGTCATGTCCATCAGGCGAGTGGAATATATCGTGATACAACTCATGGAGAGGAGCAGTTGCGTACGTTGTGACGAGAGAAGTAGGGGTAAAAGGAGTAGCAGCACGATTAGCGAGGCTATGGTAGATGCGTGCCATCACTATACTTCATCTCGACAAAATGGACATTGTTTGTGGTTGATCTGCGCCTTAACTGCATCTATTACAATTGCGGGGAAACATCTAAGAGGTCTTCGGACCACAAACGGAGGAGCATTCCATGCACTGCTGCCTCATTGCTGGCAACTTCAGCCAGCTCGTCGATTGGTGCACCATGCGTGGTGGAAGCAGACAACGCGTACAGCTTCATTAGTGCGGGTGCCAGGTCTCCTGGGAACACGATGCTCTTCGGTTGAGGAGGCAACTGTCCGAAAGCTGAGACCAGGTCGTCTTCCTCATCGTCGCTCTCGTTGCCACCGTCATCATCCGGATCTCTGTCAGCACTATCACTTTCTGCATTCTCGTCAGCATCATCACTGTCGTCGTCTTCAGCGTCCTCCTTGCGATCCTCGTCCCCGCCGTCGCATGTGCATAGACCCATGTGATGCCGCCTGCAGTTGTGCTGCGAGTAGTAGACTGCAACAAAAGCCTCCTTCGTCTCATCTTCACCCATCGACAAGCGGATATGCGAGCGGTTTTTGAAGCGAATGACAACATTTTTATCAAGTGGGCTAGGACCAGACTTGTCAGCATTTGTCTCACGAGGTGGTGGAAGGCGGTTGGCTAGCATATCCAGCGCAGCCACATCAGAAGCCTCCTGTATGTCCTTGTCGCCTATATGTGCAGCAAGTTGGCCCACTAGTTTCTTGAAAGTTGCTGTAAAACCCTTTGCCTTCGCAGAGTCCGGTGGAAACTGCGTTCCCATGTAGCTCAGGTATCTAAAAGGGAGCCCCTTACGGAACGCGATGTCCGAGTCAAAGGCTTGACGGATGACGCGGGGCAGCGCCACCTCCAAGAAATTAGCCCACGTGTTGTGTTGGTACACAGAGATTGTCACATGCGTGGAAAAGTGTTCCTTGTCTGTACACGCCTGGTGCACAACGCCACGCGGGAAGTACAGTAGGTCACCTTCCTCCACAGTCAGCTCCATCCATGGTTCACCAAGCTGATCGACCGCGAGATCCGAGCTATGTTCACCCGCCAGCTCGACTAATGGATGGTAAAGCTTCCACTTTTTACACCCCTGTGTCTGTAGTACAAACACTTCGACATCATCGTAATGCGGTGCCAATGCCTGCGAGTTGGCAGGTGTCAAGTATGCACTAGCACCAGCCAGACCACCAAAAACCTCTTCAAAAGCTGCATTAATCTCATAAAGTCCATCCACATAACGTTGCGGCTGATAGAATTGGCAGCTGAAACCTCTATCCAATAGATTAGCCACTTGTCGACTCGTTGCATGTCCATTAGAGTCTTCACCATCAAAATTCTCACGCTCTGAATTAATGTATCGACAGACCATCAAATCTTTGCCAAAGCTCATGCTACGCGGCTCTTTTTCCATGATCTTGAGCATCTTCTTGCGTGAGAAAAGACCACTACTAAATAGCACGCTCTTGTCCACTTTACGTACGTGCAACGGCTTCTTTTCAAAGTATTTGGATTCAAACGTGTCCAATGACATGCCACCCAGCAGCTTCGTCAGTGTATTCTCGGCCCACTGGTGACTTCCTTCAGCATCATTTACAGCCACAAATGTTTTTGTACTTGAGGTTACAGTTTTAGTCACCTCCTTCCTTTGTTTCTTGTTCGAATCAGCTGTAGTTTCGTCTCTGCGGGTGCCTCGACGCGCGCTCTTCTTGGTCCGGCTCATGGCTTCCACTTGATTATTAGCCAATAAAGTTTCGTGTGCACCACATCATTCGAGTTTGGTGTATCGATCGTGTGGCAGACTGCACACCAGTTTCACGCAATTCAAGGGTCCAGTATCCAGCCAATAGATCAAGTCTAATCTCGCTCGCTATGACGACGAGTGTCTCTAGGTTTGCATGCTTTTATTCTACACACGTTTCGTACTATAACGTTGCATAGAAATGACACTCATTATTGAATTCTATGGAGTAGAACGATGGAGAAAGAAGAAAGAAGGATGCAGACAGAGGAGACGTCCAGTGATAAAGAGATGGAACTTGTGCGTATGAAGATAATAAAGGCACGTGCAAGATTGGGCACGTCTTTGATGGACATTCCGACTGGTCGTGAGTACGACTCGCCGCCCGATAAATCGGACGAATTAGTGCACAAAGCACTGAAGAAGACGTGCAATACGACGTTGTTGGTGCATCCGACAGTAAAGACAGAAGAGGATTCTGTGGTCCGACATGAGGACAAGTTGGGGTACTTGGACATAAACCTTTTGGCTCTGTGCTGTAGCTTGAATTTCAATGGAGTTGCTGATTATTCTGCATGTTGCTGGACTGTAGCACTGGAGATGATGAGAAGACTATTGGTTCAGGAGATATGGACGATGTATTGGTGATTAAGGTTGGTTGAGTTACGCGTCTGCTGGTATCAGTTGAATTGGTAGAATACTGACGGGTGTGAATGTTGCGTTCTGCCAGAGTGAGGAAAAAGACAAGTGTGCTCCGTGAGTTTGCTGTTTCGACGAGGGCTGAGTGTTAATATGTTATGGACGTGTACTCACTGTTGTATGCATTGTATGGTTTATGCCTACAGGCAAGTCGGGACTCTAAAAGGCATGTGTCTTTCAACCATAAAGCAGGATTTGGGAAGCAATGACCAGAAGGAGACAAAACACCATCATTCAATTAGTAGTGTCATCGTGAACGCTGACGTTTGTACAGCATCGCCTTTGACCCAACTTGTAGTGAGCCCCACTGCCATTCCAGTGGATTCTGGGTTAGAAGGCAAACAATTGACCGGTGGTGGTGAGGAGCAGATTAAGGCATTAGCGTCATTTTCCGCACAGTCAGCAACAAATGCAACGCCACCACAGTCACCGATGTCAGCACCTAATCGAACCTCAAGTGAGGATGGATTTGTCTCAACTCCTGAAGCTAAAAGGGAACCACGCGATGAAGTGATGAAGCCTGAAATTATTGAAGAAGCAAGAACGGAGCGAGCCGACCATCTCTTTCTCAATGAATTCCTCATTGCAGAACTTGAAGCGTATTGCTTCCGATTACTCAGAAGAGAATGCTCAAACAATGGGTCGTCCGATGTGAGTGATCTCGCTCGGATAACCGGCTTGCAGCTTTATCAGGACCACCAGCGAGCTCTCATGGATTTCGATGACGAATGGAAAAGGTGAGGTTGTGCGAATTGCTTTGTGTGTTAGCAAAGTATTAGCTGACTCTGTTTGCTGTTAGGTCTCACGCTGATAGTTATCGAGACTATTTGCCACCGACTTCCAACGAACCTACAGTGGCACCGGCAAATGCTCGCACGAATCCATTTCAACAGGATTCTGCGATCACAACTGGCGTAGGCGGTTGGACAGCGCTAGTAAATCAAGTGAGAGCTTCTAGCATGAAGTCGAATTTAGCAGAGGCTTTGCCGTCACCTGAAGTGAATGTTCAAGAAGGTATCGAAGATCTGTTTGTTGCGTATAAACAAGGATCGAATGGAATTATTGTTGGCGGTGATAATTTTCACAAGGAGCGTTTACAGGTAGATTGACACTACGCATGCAAGGGATAAGTGACCGCGCTTGTCTAATAGTTTTTCGTGTGTTTGTGTACTAGGTCAGTGCTTTTCTGGCCCAGATTGCATTAAGTCAAAACACCTCAGCGTTTCACATTATCGTGGCTGCTGGTTCTGACCTCGCACAATGGGAAAAGGCATTGTCATCTGAGCGGCTTATTCAATCGTACCCATATTGGGGAAGCAAGCAAGATCGCCAAAATTTGCTGCAATTGCTAAGCAATGAGTATTTCTCAAGCCGAAATCTGTCAGCGCACGTTCTTCTAACCAGCTATGAAGTTTTTATGGAAGACATATTGGTCGTGACCTCACTACAGTGTCAACTCAGCATCATTGACATTCCACGACAAGCCACTGACCAAATTGCGACGATCTGGTCACAGTTGCTTTCGCTTCGATGCCGTCAACGCTTGTTGCTATGTCAACCCGGATTTGAGATTGACGCGCGCAGATTATTACACTTTCTCGTGCCTGAGCTGTTTAGTTCACGGCGAAAGCTATTGGTATGCTCTATATAGAACCGGGTCTGTGTATGGGTCTTGGTGTTCACTGACATGTGTTTTACTGTTGCTTGAGACAGGCATGGAACGGTGCAGCCTTTCACAATGACCAAGTGTGTGCTATATGTGGCATGGTGAAGGCCTTTATGGTTATCTCCAATGAGAAAGCTTGCGCTGCATTTTTGTCGATGGTGGAGTCATACACTATGCAAAATTGCGAAGGTGAAATGGCTACTTTGGATATGCTGAATAGGCAAGGCATTGTAAGGGCAATACAACCATCAATCATGATGCCTGTGAAGCGCGTACTAGGCAAAAAGACTCGTAACCGCGCTAGCGGGCACATCCCTGCGAAGGTGAGATGCAAAACTGATTTTGGGAGTGTGTGAAACATGAGGGGATTGCTGGATGTTGACACGTAAGCGCTTGTTTTTTGTTGGCAGGGAAAGATGGAATTGCAACAAGGTGCGTTTGGTCTCGTGGATTCGCAGCTTACCATCAATGCCCCGAATAATTATCTGAAGAAGCGAAGTGGAAACGATGGGACACCTGGCTCCCGCCAGCGTATTGGTCGTTGCGGAAAATGCGCTGGATGCTTGGCCGAGGACTGTATGAAATGTGGACACTGTCAGGATATGAAAAAATACGGTGGACCCGGACTTCGAAAGCAGTCTTGTAAGTACCGGAAGTGCCTAAACCCGAAGATATGGGGGTTGGCTTCCCGAAAGAGGAAACGCAAGACAAAACGTGTTGGCGGTATCAGCAGTGTAAAGGTCTCGGAGCTTGATGACGAAGGCTTTGTAGCGTACTCTTCAGCGGAAAGCGATGGGGAGTCTGTATCAACCGCGACGTACGGGAACGGTGGCTCGGATGATGAATCGTTTCGATATTCAGACGTTACGGTGGACTCTCCACGTGACTTGTTATTGCCGACGAGCGACACCCTTCTGGACGACCATTTATCTCTTAGCGACTTGAGTTCTCGATCTGCGTCTGCGCGTTCGCGTGTCGTTCGATGTGGAGAATGTCAAGGGTGTCATGCACCAGACTGTATGAAATGCCCCCATTGCCTTGACATGAAGAAATACGGGGGACCTGGACTTCGGAAGCAAACATGTAAAAATCGCAAATGTAATGCCCCTAAGACTGTCATGTTAAACCAGGCAAAGGGCGGTCACGCTCAGTACGTGGATGAGATAGGCAACGTGGTTTACACCGGTCTGAATGACAGTACTTTTCCAGGGTTCTATGAGGCCCCCGATTCGTCGGACCGGCTAGAAGCAACAACGAAGTCACTAGGTATTGAAAGTCAGTCAGGAGTGCTGTCGGTTGCTCAAGAATTGGAGCGTTATGTGAAGCCACGACTAGCTTTTGTGTGTATGGATTGTGCTGCACGCTTCAGCTCGAGCAAGGTGCTCACTTTTCACGTCAAGGTCGAGCATTCGTCTTCAGCAGAACATGTAATTTTGCCGTCGGCGTTGGAGCAAAAGGCTAATCGGCTGTTTAAGCGACCGAGTTATCAGAATGCCATGATTAGTGCTCAACTCAAGCAGCAGGATGAAAAGTCATATAGCTCGCCCCTCGGATATGCAAAGTTGGAGGTACGATAGACTGCTTGGTACCATGGTTGCGTACACTTAAACTGACGATAGTTTGTGTCCGAAACTTTAGGGTGAGAATTTTCAGTTCTACGTTATCGATCCACTGGTCATTCTTGGACGTATGAGCTCTCAGTGGTGTCAATTGTACGAAAATCTGGGTTTCGACACCCTCAAGGGCCTCGCTGATAACAATGTTGATTGCCACATTGGAAACGATAGCACGATTCCAGCCCAGCACGCTGTGATCTCATGGGATGCTGGTCTTGGCAATTTTGTGATTGAGTGTTTGAGTCTCCGAACGCCGATTTTCGTAAATGGCCGCGAAATTAGTTTTTCTTCACTTCCAGTGGTGCTAAGCAGTAAAAATCTGGTGCAAATTGGTATGAGTAGTTTCTACTTCCTATTGCCCAAGACGATGAAGACAAAAAGCGCCATCGAAGAAACAAGTTAAAGGTTAGATCTCTTTATTTGAGACGGTACCATGGGGTCGAAAGCAAATTGAAGTGATATGTAGTTTACATCGTGTTTTGGAATCGAATAAATATTCTTTTCTACCAATTAGAAATAGACTTGAGTTTAGTAAGTCCGTGTCAATTATGAAGACTGGTTGGCTCCCAGTCTTTCATACTCAGATTAGTCCCCACCACACAAATCCCATACATAGTGTAGCATTAGAAACTCATGGTGGTCGCAGGCATTGACATTGGCACAACGCACGGCTGCGTGGGTGTGTGGCACAATGGCAAGGTAAATATCATTGCGAATGATCAGGGCTTTCGTACCACGCCCGCTTACGTATGTTTTGAGGGAGAGGAGGTCATTGTGGGTGACACGGCTGTCAATAAGCTGCCGTCGCATGCGGACAACACCATTTTCCACCTCAAACGGCTACTAGGCAAGACCCACGCCGACGTAAAAGACCGCGAGTATGTCAAGATGTGGCCTTTTAATGTCACAGAAGGAACGGAAGGGATCGCCCAGGCTGAGACGCAGCGTAATGGTGAGAAACACGCCGTGAATCCCGTGGAATTTATGGCACTGCTGCTACAGAATCTCAAAGATCTGGCCGAGGACTTTACGGGTGAGAAGCTCGAGCATGTGGTCATTAATAAGCCGGCGCACACGGACGACAAGTACACGGAGTTACTGAACGCTGCTGCCAAGAAGGCGGGAGTCAATGTGCTGAAGTACCTGAGCGAACCGCTAGCTGCTGCCATTGCTTACGGACTCGATGAAGCTGCTAATAATGAGAAGCCAGAGTACGTCCTCGTGTTCGACATTGGCGGTGCTACCCATGATGTGACTCTGCTGAACGCCGATAAGGGACTGTTTGAGATTGTGGCCAGCAAGGGCAACGACACTCTTGGTGGTGAAGACTTTACGGCTGCCGTGTTTGAACACTGTGCCAAATCGTTCTTACGCAAAACCAAGCTGGATGTGAAGACGAACGAGAAGGCGTCGAGTCGCCTTCGCATTGCTTGTGAGGCTGCCAAGCGCTCACTTTCCACGCAAACACAGGCGAACATCGAAGTCGACTCGCTTATGGAGGGTGAGGACTTTGCACTCAAGTTGTCGCGCCCTCGTTTCGAAGAGCTCATCAATGATTACGTGCAGAAGACGATCACTGAGATCGACGCTATTCTGGAGGAAAATGAGCTTGAGAAGGAAGATATTGACCACGTTGTGCTAGTTGGCGGTTCCACCCGTATCCCGCTAGTGCAGAACCTCGTCAAGAAGTATTTTGAGGGCAAGACGCTGCACACGCAGCTATCTCCCGATGAAGCTGTTGCTTTTGGTGCCACCATCGAGGCGTCTTGCCTTGCTGAGCTCGTGGGAGTCCCCGAGCCTGAAAAACCGCTGAATATGGTGAACGTGGTGCCCTTGAACCTGTCTGTGGCCCTAGCCAATGGTAGTGTGTCAGAGCTAATCCAGCGCAACACGGTTCTGCCTGCTTCTGCAACCGAGCTGTTCACCACGTCGGCCGATAACCAGGAGGCTGTGTTCCTGCAGATCTTCGAGGGCCAGCGCCTCATGGCCAAGGACAACACTCTCGTGGCACAGCTGAGTGTGGCGGGCATCACGCCGCTGCCAAAGGGCGACGCCGAAATTGAGGTGACGTTTACTGTGAGTACAAAGGGCGCTCTTACAGTGACCGCTTCGGAGCGCAAGGCTGGCAACAAGACGCTGGAGGTGACGCAGGACTCGACGCGATTGACGCCTGCGGACGTCGCTGCTATTGTCAAGAAGGCGGAGGATGCCGCTGACGAGGACGGTGAGCTGTTGGGTGAGCTGGAGGATGCCGAGGAGGCGGAAAAAGCTGCGGAACTTGAGGCTGCCACTCCCGAGGTCGAGGCTACGAGTGGTCCTGTCATGCCTGTTGTGCCTACGCAGGATCTAGACTAAAACTACAACTACAAATCACTAATCACTTGCTCTCGACCTAAAAAACTTGCCTAAAGTGATATTTTTTATATCGGATGATCCTAGCAGGTAGGACAAATTAGGTCAGCTAAAAAGTATTACTATAGGCAGGTTCTAGCGTATACGCCGTGTTGCGTGAATGTTGCGATAACGATTCACCTATAGGCTGTGATTCTATTGGTTGAAAACAAAGGTATTTACAATTCATTAAAAAAGTAAGACACATGGACGACGACGTCAAGACCGCGGCGAATGCTATGAACGTACGTAGTCCCGTCTTTCCCTTTTCTTTCTTTCTTATTCTGTACAGTAAAGTGACTCCTTTTTTTCCTTGTATATCCTTCTTTCATTTTGTTCAGGATCGAGGTGCCGAATTGGATTTTGGTAGATCGCTTACTGTGACATAAAGCCACAAGACAATTTCTAGATACTAAAATTACCGTGTATGGTTTTAATTGTCATCCTCAGAGGTCACTGTGGTCGAAGGTGATGAGATGGAGGAAGGACTCATGTCTTCGCAGGTTCGGAACACCCTTATGGGCTCCAAGAACGCAGCCTTTGGAGAAGACAGCAAACCTGCACGCCCCATGGGACTCTGTGGCTGCTTCTCTTTAGCTTACTATCAGCCGGTGTGTGTGGATATCAATGGCATTGCTCGTGACATTGGTGTGACATTTTTGTGTCTTGTTTATTGTCTGTTTGATGTGTCCTTTAGTACTTTGATGTCGACACAGCGGACGTTCAGCAGCGTCTGATACGAGCGCTAGTGCCGTTCAAGAAGGACCCAACATTCGCTGACCTGGCACTCCAGTCACCTGATGCTTATGGACCATTTTGGCTCTCCACGACACTCATATTCTGCTTGGCGTCGTGCAGCAATGTCGCGTCCTTTTTGGATTACGTGGGCGACACAGATGAATGGGCATACGATTTTAGCCGTCTGGCTTCGGCGTACACATTGGTTGAGATCTTTCTTTTGGGCCTGCCCATGCTCATCTGGCTCGTGGGTAAATACTTCAATGTGCCTATGAATTTGCTCTTTCTTGTGTGTCTATATGGATACTCGGCGATTATGTTCATCCCGGCGGCGGTAAGCTTGTGATTATGTTGTGTTCTATATACGTGGTATTGTTCCATCTGATTCACGTATTCATGTAGATATTGTGCGTTTTTCCGATCGATGCTATGGACTGGGTAGCAATGTTGATGGCGATGACGTGGTCGCTCTTTTTCTTGCTGACCAACCTCTGGCACGTCATTTCTGAGCATTTAACAAAGGAAAAGATGCTGCCGGTGTTGGCAGTCATCAGGTACGCACATTTCATATTCCTTGATGCTCGATACTACCCTACGCGCATAAGGTTATTGCGGCAATGTTAATTTTACTTGATTTTGGTGTTGTAGTGGGGCGCACATGATGTGGGCCATTCTCATGAAGCTGCTATTCTTTTAGTTGACATAGTCTGCGTGCATATCCAATACGAAGTGCTCTTTGTTTTACACTCAACTTGATGAATATTGCTACACTTGCATTTCCCACGGACATTCGACAAAATGACAACTTGCAACACAACGTCTAAACGATTTGGATTTCTTCTTCATCATCGCTTTCCAAAGTCATCCCACTCTCCGCATTCAGCATCAATTCTCGTTCATCATCCGGATTCGCAGCTAGCTCTTCAAAGTCGATTTCTTTGCCAATTGTTGTCGGTCGATCGGACCGATTCCTACTCAAAAACATAAGCCAAATATGAAATTAGCAACCAGAGTCATGAACCAACACACATACAGTAACTCACTTGAGAAATATTGCCAATCGAGCGTACTGTACGGCATTGCGCAAAGCCAACACCGAGTCCGCTGCAACTTCTTCCAGCTCACCAAGCACACCTTCCTCGTTGAAATACATTGCCACTGATACAAGGCTCATAACTACAAACAGCAACACAATGTCACTCATCTTAATCATTATTGCACCATATAGAATCGACGTCAAACAGACTAAATCATTGACGCACCTAAGGCGACAACGTCAAAAATGTTGCACCATTTGTGCCAGAACCGCTGCAATGATCCAATCACATACAATAGATAAGTACCACGACGCTGTTAGAATAAATCATCGTCATCACTCTTGCTTACTCTTTTAAACGCCATCATCCGAAGCAACACTTCCAATACCAACAGCGTGCTGACTATAATCTCCAGCGAGATGAACACCATCGAGGACGGACTGAGCAGTATGAACAACAACAAACACTCGTCAAGTTTCGTCATTCGGTCCAGCGTCTTGCTATTCTTTTAACGTACATTTTCCAATCATTTATCCCCGTCTGCATCGAACAATATGGATTAGAAACTCGAATTATGCAGTAAATAGTGACGTCTTAGTTTACTTACCCAGACGACGCATACAAGACTTGAGGCGATCATAAAGAAGTATACGATTCGATAAAAACTAGAAAAGTACAGACGACTGGCCACTGTCATGACGTGCTCTTTGCATCCAATGTGCGGCGCCGTCGCGCCTGACAGCTTTGCGTAGCTCTTGGGTGCCTTCATTTTGCGATATAGCGAGCTAAAGCGTCGGAATATACGAGATGATTGGACAAAATTAAAAATTCTGAAACAGGCTGCTGCCACCTTTCTGATTCCAAAGGGTGGTCGTTTATTTTTGTGCAAAAAAAGAATTTTAGAAAATTACCTGTTTACGTGTATGAACTTTTAAATTTTATGACAATTCAGATTATTTTTCCGAGCACAAACACCGATTACGCTTTTAGTAACTGTTAAGTTACTACACGTTGCTAATAATAAACTCGTCAGGAGGAAATGGCGAAGACTAAATCGGACCTAAGGAGAATGGTCGATTGTGCAGCTAGTGCGGTTATAAATTAGAAAATAGAAGGATACCGTACCCAATTAAATAGAACCTAGCTTGAAGGTGGTGGACCTGATTCAAGCTGACGCTGCTGCTTACATGGAAAGGCACGTCAGCTGTAGTCGTCCATGTGATAAACACGTCTATGCAGATAAATACAGAAAACCTTACCTACAGTATTACTGCCTTACCTGATAACTTTTCTTACCTGCTCACTAATTCTGGTCCAAGCCATCCTAATTTATAACTTTTTTATTTGATAACTTGTCTTAACGGATAGATTCCTTCATTTCTAAGACTATCACTTTAGGCATTATTTTCTGTACGATCGCCGGTACTATATGGCTGCCCTTCGTTTACTTGCTGCCTCTTCTTCTCAACACCACCCACGTAGCTACAGAAAATCACTGCGACATTTCGCGGCTGCAAAGTAATGCAGTAGAAAAAAGACAAGGTTGTTCCTATGTATGCCCGATTGCAGAATATCGTACACGGAAACGAAAGACTACAGCATACGTTGCTACCTGGCGACTTTACTTTTTTGCAATGCTTCAATAGAATCAATCGACCAATACACGAAACAATTGATAAAGAGATCGATTACAAATGTATCAGCTAGATAAACTTACAGTATCGTAGAAAGTAAAGGATCTAATCGTAATATAACGTAGGATTGCCTTACCAGGGTATCTATCACTCGTGACAATAACTTCCTTCCAGATAGATTATCGTCGCATTCCTCCTGGACGAACGTCAGCCGTTCGGACAAGTCCCTTAATGAGGTGACACCAATACCATTTGGATGCCGTGGATGCAGAGCATCTTCATCACTGAACCACGTCGTGTAGTTCACTTTATTGTCCAAGAAGACTCCTGTGAGCGCGTGACCCCACAGCGTCATCCCATAGCAGAAATGGACGTCCTCTGATGTGCTCTCTTCGTCTTTACCATCAGCCATAGAAGTTGCCCCATGTGAGTAGAATTCATATATATCGGAACATAGGGAAGTACGTTTCGTCCGAGCTTGAATTGACAACGTCACGCAGCATGGTCAAGCTGCGCCACGACGAGTCCAGTTTCTGAGGATAACCGATCCTGTCACCCAGTAGCCATAGTGATAATGGTGATCGTCGTACACCCCGTTGCCAAGTCCACACTAACATTAACGGTGAAAATCTGGCTGGTTACGATGCCCCTGTATGTTGTTTCTCGTACACAATGGCATACACATGGTTCCAATCATAAAAGCTTCGATGAGGGCAGCCTTTAACTTTGCTCAAACATCTTCTCAGCAGTGCAGTATCATCATCAAGCTATTGGCGGCCATCCCGTACGCCTTACCATAGAAAAACTAGCTTCTGGTATCGGAAAGCTCACTTGCTGTCAATGTCACTATGCAGGGTAGACAGGAGATTAATCTGCGAGACCACGTCAGCTGTCAGCTTGGTAGCCGGGTAAAGCCCACCTCACCTGCTTCGACAAAATCCAGCACGACGATGTAGTCACTTGACCATTCATCTTGCCACGCGTCCTCGATTGCAGTACGGTGGCACCCTTGCTCTGCAATCGTAGCGCCATTCATGACGTCCACTTGATGGGACAGCGTGACATGCAGAAGACCCCGTACTGTCTCACCCTCTGCTTGCATTCTTCCAGTCCAGCGAGCAGGACTGCACCGACACACCACCGCCACGAACTATACATGATGCGTAGTCATTGTAAACGCATTGATCACCGCTTTTACGGAGAGCTGCCAGCCGGTTCGTGCCGTTATAGGTCGCGCTTCCCACCAAAGCTGGTCCCGTAGAGTCGACCGAGAAGGACGCACTCGTGTTGCTGGCAAAGACCACCCACGTCTGATCGTTTACCAGCTGTACCAGGCGTCGAGCTATCTACCAGCTCCATGACATAATATGACTCAATTCTTGGCGCCAGGCCAGCGGACGCCGCCGAAACGAACGCCATGCCGTGCACCAGTGTCGAGTCTATGCAATTTGTGCTGCCAGACACACAAGTTCGGATATCAAAGCCCATTCCGCTGAAAGAGTACATTTCATAGTCAAGCTTGGTCGACCCAAATTCTTCTGCCGACAGAGTCATATCGTCATGGAACTCGTGTAGATAGTACTCGACGACGCCATACACCTCGTCGGCCACATGGCGGTATGTGTACAAGTAGCATGCCTGTAGCCCGAAAGGTGCTTTCTTGGGCAGCTTGAGCGCGTACGGGTTGGACCACACACACAGTGTCGATGTCTTCTTTGGTGGTGTGGACAAGGTTGCCCCACACCACCGCGATTGGTTTGTTAAGAAGGATCTTGGTCACGTTGATGATGAAGACGAGCGCGGCGAGTCCATTCTTGCGTTGGAAAAGTGCTTGAGACGGCTCATCAGTTTCAAACGGTACAAGAAGAAAGCTATGCATTGATGTGGATTCTTGAACTTGGTTGGGTGCATGCACGATTCCTTTCTTGAAAGAACCGCTGGCTGTTGAGCCTTCACATTCCGCGGATATATTACCAATCGTGGCAGTTGCTAATGCTACTTGCAACCATGGAGTAGACCTCGTTAGCGTACGATTGACTTGATTGTTGCACTTTGACCGGGACACTTGTCAAGTTTCGGTTATTTGAGATGATCTCATGAACAAGCCGAAACATCGACAAGTTGATGCAAATATCGAATATATGACATAATCGCGACGTTCCGAAAAGTCGGTAAAATGCATCGACGTACAATTCGCAGGAGCACGTTAAGTGGCCGTCACAGTGCACCATCCCGTCAAGAAAGTGACGAGAAAACTAAGAGGCATGTGATAACTGGGGACGAGAAGATGAAGGTTGAAGACGGGGAAGTGCACCGTTGGGACCCAAGCGAATAAGGGGTGAACCGTCGATGCTTCCCTCTGGTCCCCCACCATTCCGACAAAATCCTGATGGACCGGGAATATGCCGTTATTGGTTTGGCCGCCCGCTGGCCGATGATCTCAAGGGACCCGCCGTTGCTGCGAACATTGAATTGGCTAGGGAAGTCAAGCCTTCTTCGCCTAACGTATCAACAGAAGGACAACTGGCTGCTATACAGCGAAGGAGCGACGAGATCTCTGGAACTATGGTAAACATAAGTTTCAATCTGAACTACCGAACAAACGGTCTCCTGTGAAGCCGCTTAAAACATCAATCGCGAGTTCCAATCTGCTATCTATCGACCTACTAACTTCAACGGACACGATTTTCATTCCTCCACCTGTTAATCACTTAATTGTTAAGATGAAGCTGCAATTTGCCCCTTGCTGAACCACTTAACACCCGACGGGCTGTACCATTCGAGGTTATTAGTTACGAAAATTGTAAGAGGTGACGCCACATGCGTATCATGGCTTTTGACTAAAACCGGTCTGGCCTATAGGTCGTTGGAAAAAGTAATGATAAAACCATACTATTTGCAGTATGCTTTACGATGCCAAAGAAAAACGAGCAGAGAGATGAACGAGGATAAGCTTAATTGAAACAAATGAAAGCAAAAGCATCTCAAGTATCTTTATTGAACCTTCAACAGTTGTAATCGACACAGAGAAACCAAAAAGATGAAGCGATCTTTGGAACGGAGGTGATTTACAGAATTGAAAAGCATTCACATGTCTGTCTAACTTGCTTGTGCTACGGTTAGATACAAGCGATGGAAGAGCGAAACGAGTACATGATAAAGCATAAAATACGGTGAAGACAAAATCAGATCGGTATTAGTGCGCTGATAAACATGTCGTGATGCTGCAAAACGAAAACCTGGAAGCTGCACGAAAATGTCGGCACCGTCTGCAATGCTTTGCTCGGTAGGCGTCTCAGTTGACTCATAGTGTTTCTGTTGTTTCTAAACCGACAACTTAACACCATCGTGGAGCAGGTCAAGTTTTGGCGCCGCGAATCGAAGTGTGTGACAGTACGGTGATTCCAGACCGAGAAAGAATCTCGAACTAACTCAGCAACGTATATCAGATCATCCACAGTTGTCTGACCTTGTAGCTCGTGAAAGACGAGACGCCACTCGACTAAATTAAAAAAGCACGGGCCATCGTTTCCATGCCGAATCTCAATGCTGCGGAAATGACTTCTCAATAAATCGCACACCCTCGACCTCAAGTCGCGCTAAAGCCGGGTTGTAGATATCAGGGGTTGTCGGGGTAAGCACACCGCGATTTTGGACTGCATCCTGCAAAATCAGCTGCACTCCAATAGCCGCGCTCAAGCCAACAGTCTTGGCCATGATTGTGTCACCTTTCTCGGAGCCGTAGCCCACGAACGTCGATGTACGCTTCTCCTTTTTGCCGTCTTCGTACTCGATGCCGAACTCATGGTGCATGATGGCCATGTCGCGTTCCCCAGGCTGGTATGACAACTTGTCCTGCAATAGGGCGCAGAAAGCATCAAGAATAGAAGGAGCTTTGACCATAGGTGTATCATGATGACAGGCGCCAAGCCACTGGAGAAACCCATGGGCGTCTTCACGAAGCCCTTGCAGTCCACCCAACTGCTTGAGAAGGTCTGGCCAGGTGGCCGGGATGGGCTTGGAAGGATCCATATCAAAGAGTCCCAGCTTTCGTAGCTGGTACAAAATTTGACAACAACCGCCGTAGCGTAGAGTACCTCGATACAATGAATGTGCCTCTGGAATGCCGTAAATTTTCCCGTACGGAAGCGAGTTTCGGTTTGGAATCTGCTCGATGTTTAGTGCGGGCAAAAACTTCACGCGTTCACTTCTGTTAAGCAAGTCTTCGCCGACTACATTGACGACTTCACCATTTTTGCGATATTGGGCTGCATTCAACGCCGCTGTTAGCACGCCACGCGGGCTCCAGCTAAACTTGTAACCAATGGCGTTGTCCGCTGCCTCCGGAGCTGGTAATCCGCCACACACAGATGAAAACGATACGATCTTTCCAGAATGCGCCTTCACTGCATCAATGACCTTCATTGCGCTCATGTGATCCATACCAGGATCGAGGCCGATTTCACAGAGAATAGGAATCCCGGACTTTTTTGCCTTCGCGTCCAGCTCTTTCATTTCAGGCGACACATAACTAGCAGTCACAAGAGGTGTTGCATGCTGAATACAATGATGAGCAATGGCTGTGTGCATAGATGCCGGCAATAATGACACAACGCAATCGGCTTCTGCACAGAGCTTGTCAACACTGGCAGCATCCTCCACCACATTCAGTACATGAGGTCGTATATTTCGGCGTGCAATTTTGCGCACTATGCCCTTCACTTCGCTCTCAAGACCCGAGACCACATGCACTTCATATCCTTGTTCACGAGATAAATACTCCACAAGCGGCGATGCCACCAATCCAGCACCAAAACACACGATCTTACGTTTCTTCGGGATCGAGACCGATACATCAGTTGAGATGTTCCCAGCTGCATCCTTTCTCACTACTGCACCACGCGATCGTGAGAAATTGGTACCACATAAGTCAGGTAGCTCAGTGACGGTAGCATTCGCTCCAGAAGTGAGATCAGCTAGCGAGCGAATCTTCGTGATAATTCCATCCAGAGCGTCACGGTCATTCATGCTGATCTGAACGATGGCGTTCGAGATGGCGTCGCTAGCACTGTTTTCAGCTCCAACGTTAGGTCGCACGTCACAGTTCACCAGGTGAAACCCACCATCATGGTGCTCGATGAGGTTGAGCACCTGGTTGATGAGCCCCGTATCGAAGAGATGCCCTTCAAGCAAAAGACACGTACTACCAGCGACCTCTTGTTGTGCATCTAAGAACTTGTACTGCTTGCTACGCTCACGCTCGGCACAGATGCGATGTATGTACTCATACCTGGGTGCCAGCAAGCCCTTGCTGGCAATACAAGCACCACGCAACTCAGCTGGCAGATTTTTCTGTTCATACAGAGGAACATTGGACGAGGAGGCGCTCGATAGTGCAGCGACATATTCCACCAAGCAGTCGCCAAATTGCTGACTTGACTCGCGTGCCAGCTCGCTCGGTAAAATATCAACCCCCATCACCATGACACCGTTTCCTTCGAGCCCGCGATTATCTCCATCATCGCGCATTTTGTCTTCGTCGACGTCGTACAGGGCAAAGGGACGCTCAATCTCTGTGGTGCGTTCCAAAAACTCGATACTGCCACCAATATCACATGAAATGTCAGCTATGCCCAGCAGCTTTTGATTTCCAGCCCCTCGAAGTTCACGGATCTGTTCTCGCGTGATCAATCGCGGGAAACGTTCATCCCAGTACATGCAGTTTACCAGCATGGAAGTGTATGGCAACACCTTTTCATGGAAAGCAGCTTCAAACTGATGCGGATTCTGGTAATAGTTTGCGCGTGAATTTGTCACGCCGGATCCTGCTTGAGGCTTCACAAAATACTCCGGATCATCAATGACTGTACCGTACAAAACTCGATTGTTCTTTGGTAACTTTGATAGCTCGGACGAATGCACCATTTCATGAGGCATGAGCTTGAAGATTTCCTGTGCCCCTTTTGAAACATTCCCATTGCCCGTAAAGGCAAATGTCATGGGCGTCAATTCCTCAGGCAATCCATCAAAACTAATCCTCCTTCCTACAGCTTTCACTGCGTCTTTTGCATGCTCCAAGTCTGCATACATGTAAGCAGATGCGACGTTTACGAAAGGCGTCGAGATGCCCATATTAATGAGGCGTTCTCCAAGACCTCGAAAGCCCGTAATCATTCCTGCCCGACCTGCATTACCTCCAAAAGCAATTAATCGCTTGCCACTTTCCTCTGTAATGCACTCGTAGTCGATAAGAGTGACACGGCGATGCAGCACGGCATTCAATAGCGCCATGTTCTCGGGTTGTGCCTTGATCGTGTGGCTGAAGAAAAAGTACGTCTTGTCTGCCAGCAGTGCTGGCTCCGGTACCTGTTTGACGCCTACAATGACGTTGGCTGCTGCAAGATCTTCAGACAATATCGCTCCGGCGCGAACATATTGTTCATCAGAGAAGACGCGCGAAGTGGACGGCTGGACTAGCACCTGAACGCCACGCTGCAAGAGGTCCTGGACGTGTACAGGAGTGAGTGGCACACGTCGTTCCCATTTGTGATACACCTCACGAACGATGCCTACACATTTACCAGTCATCTTTTTTCTTTCTCGTTATTCTTGCTTGGCTGGCGTCTGGCAGATTGAAGAATGAATGAAAAGACGTGATGTTGAAGTTGCATTTCATAAAGAATGTAATTGCAGGTATAATATTTTGAAATTAATCAAGAAAAGGCTATATGGAAGGTTGAAATTTCAATAATTATTTTCTACTTTTATCCTTGCGCGCTTCTGCAATGCCTACTGTATGATAACCTCCAGTTTTCTATATATTACGCACGCCAAACTGCGTTGTTGCAATGACTCGGGGTGCTGTTTTCTCTTCCTCTCCTTCCACACCCGGAAGCGGTTGATCTCAGCAAGGTAGCATTGCGTATAGTACGATTTTTCGATCGTTGTGATGCTTGAGTCTACGTGGCGATCCTTCCTTTTGCGCTCTCCATCCCTTTGGTCTTCTTTATTGCTTATGCCTCGAGCAGACGCGTCGTTCTAGGATATCTTAATTAGTCGAACGTAAAATGCCACACCATCTTCATGAATGTGGTTTGCCGAAACTTATTGTTCGTCTTACTCGACGCCATCTAGTGTAAGGGTATTTTGCATCGAAGAATCTTGTCAAAGTAGTCTGGAAAGGGGTGTCGGAGACTTCTTTCTCTGTCACCTGGCTTGATGACGGACGCTCGTCCAAAACTCGTCGGTCTTTTTGCGCTTGCGTTCAATGGCACAAATAGAGAACGGAATGCACAAGTCGGCCACTATTGCTGACATTAATGTACGAAGACAAGGACGTCGTGCGTCAATGTCAGCCACAAATGACACACTGATTGACAGATGAGTCATGGGCAAGATCGAGACAGGATGTCCTACAAACATACGTGTAAGACGGTATCTCTCAGTCTCAAATTTACTTCAACATGTATCAATACTTTCCATTGTACTGCAGAAACCCTGCTTGTGGTATCGTATCTGCATTAGTGCCTTCATTTGAGGCTAAGGATACGGCAACAACCCCTAATTTTTCTCCGATTGTTACCTGACTCAACAAACAAAGCCTGATGGCGCTGTAGTCGTGCCTTCATCGAAAATTAGCCATGTCGATGCTACCTTTTGTAATCGGCAAATAGCGTGGTCGTTGTATTCAAAGATGCCGTCGATAGTGATACCAACGGCACCATCACAATAAAACAAGCACCTCTGATATGCAATACAGTATTCGCTCCAATCGACTGGCCACGACGAGTCGTAAGTCACGCTCGTTCTGGCAACTTGTCTCTTTACATGACGCCGCTGAAATCTGCAGTGGCTGTGGCGCCGGTACGCTACTTTAGCTTCAAGGATTTCCTATCAGAAGCAGAGGCCGCCGCCTTCTTCGAGGTGTCGCACGCCGAGCAGGTGGCCAAAGTAGAGCAGTACCTCGAATTCTTGGGCCAGCAGCCCAATTCGACGCAGTTTTCGGCATCGTCCAAGGCGTCCATCAGCTCGGCAGAGCTTCGAGAAGACTCGGCGGCCAAGTCGTATCCGGACGACGGTGGGACGTTCGTCCTAGACGCAGCACTATTGCAGCAAGTTTTGGATGGACGCACTCGCAGCGGGTTCGGTGCCTTTGGCACTGAGCCGGGATTCTTGCCACAAAAGAGATTGTGTTTAACTGTCGCCCACGTTATCGAAGAAATTGGGCACACATACATCGTCGAGCGTAATAAGCGCGGTATCGTAAAGCCACCGGTGCTAAACAGCCGGAGCTTCTTTTTCTACTGGTGCCACGCAGAGAAGCAGAAGCTCATGGACATCCGCGAAAAGCTAAACGCAAAGAAGGTTCCACCACAATTGAGATGTCTGTACTGGCAACGAATCGTGATTGTCGTGGACCGAGCCATGTGCGACGATTGTGTTCGATTCGTCGAGTGCTTTGCACGTTTTGAGAAAGCATGTATCTGTATCCGAGACCCGGATGTAACGCGAGAGTTTTCTCCTTCTACCACTTTACAAGTGTCGTAAGCAAGGACCACCCGACACAAGATCACTAACATATTTAAGCATGTTATCATTAAAGTGTAGCTGTGCCAATTTTTCTAATCAAACAGTTATCGGATAACATAGTGAACGTTCGTGCACGTAGAGAATAAGCAAGAAGAAGCAAGAAGAAGCAAGAAGAAGTCAACATGACCCAACATGACCTTACTTGATTTTGTTATGAAGCTATATCTAAGCTGCTCCTTAAAGCTCTGTTTGCAGATAGAAAGAGCGTGCATTATGAGTCTTCTTACCCCACCAGACTATTTTCATGGCCTGCAATGGACTCGTTTACAATTACTATATTATTACTAAATGCTATTGAAGCGCCTTCTTAAAGTGCGACTCTTACTTCTCACTTGTCACATGCATACGCGCTGATAACACTTACGTAATGTTGAGTTTATGATCTACAAGATGCAATTATCTCAAATCATTATGTAATGCCATTTAGTGCATTCTTAGCCCAACAAACAGTCACTAATCTTTCGACTTGATTAGCTCAACGCGACGCACAAGAATATAAAGCTTTGTATAAATTTCTGTTAGGGTTGATCAAAGGAACAACAGTAATAACACAGATATTAGTTTTCTTGGATCAAGAATGAATGTTGGTCAGCCCAACGGACACTGAGTTTGCGTAAACAATTTTCTTCGGTTTCAATGATGAATGTTGGTCAGCCAAAAACCGATCGATTAACAGACTAATAATGTTAAATCCCATCGCCACTACACGTGGTAGGCACGATACTTATTTATATGCACACATTACTCTCAATCTGCATGCTTTGTAAGCTGAAGTTTCTGGCCAAAGTGGCGTTGCTTGCTGTAGGTATGGCGACAGAGGGCAGACTATGGCACTGGGTACCTGCCAGCTACACAAAACTCGAGGAGGCGGAGCGCAAGATCCTCACACGCGCTCTATCGATACCATTCGAGACAAAAAAGGTTGCGCAGCTAGGCACAGTGGTGGTTCCCTGTTCCAACGAGAAAAAGCGCGAAGACGCCAAGAATCTCGTGCTGATTCACGGCTTTGGTGGTGGCAACGCAGTGTGGGCGATGGTAACGTCTCTGTTTATGCAGGCTGTGATCAATTGAGTATCAGGAAAGTTTCATGCCAATTATATATTGTGGTGTGTGCCAGAATCTGGAGAAATTGTCCGAGCATTACAATGTGGTGCGTGGCATAAGGTTAACTGTTTACTGCAGAAGCTCAAGGCTTGTTTGATTTTATGCAATGACAGTATGCGGTGGAGTGGATTGGTACTGGTCGTTCTGATCGACCTGACTTTGACTTTAAGGACGTAAGGGCCTGAAGTTGCTGCTTGTCAGTTATCGATACCAACTTATGTGTCTCATTTACTTTTTGCTATAGTACGACAGTGCCGATGAGTTTATTATGCGCTCTTTCGAGAAATGGCAACAGGAGCTTGAGCTTGAACAGTTTGATCTGTGCGGTCACTCGATGGGAGTGAGATATTCTTGACATGAGCTTGCTTGACCAACTAAGTGCTTCTAACTGTATCGGTGCAATTTGATGTATTCTACCCACAGGCAATCTTTGCATCGTCATACGCTCTTAAGCATCCTGAGCATGTTAACGTAATTCCGAACTTGATAGTCGACTCCGTGGCGATCGCATTATACACTAACGTCGACTCTCTTTATGCAGCACCTGGTATTGGCATCTCCTGCAGGTGTTCCGCAGCCACCACCGCCTCTTGACCCTACGACGGAGGAAGGAAAAGCTGTGAAATACTCGTGGCTGAGACGTATAATCATGGCAGCATGGAAAAAAAATATAACACCGATGTCTGTCGTCCGCTTCCTTGGGCCGTATGGACCGACGTTTGTCCAGAAAGTGGTGCATCGTCGAACCTTATTAATGTCTGAGGGAAGCGCCATGCGGGACGGTCGTGTCAACCTTAACGAGTTGGGGGAGTATATGTACCACAATTGGGCGCTCAAGGCTAGTGGGGAGCGCGCCATGACCACGCATCTCGCTCCAGGCGCACATGCTGTGCGTCCTCTCATGGACAAGCTGCTCCCTGAAAACATTAAGATGCCGCTTACGTTCATCTACGGCGAGCACGACTGGATGGATTACCGAAATGGACTGGGCATTGTGACACGATTCAAGGAAAAGGGCTCTACTGCTGATCTTCATCATGTGCCGAACGGAGGACACCAGATGTTCATGGAGAACCCAGATGAATTTAGTCGCATTTTGATCGAAAGTATGACAAGTAAGCAATGCGAGCAGACATTACCACTGTAGTGCAGAACTTGTAGAAAATGAATAAGCTTTATTTCTCTATCACTTTCTCAAGCGTGCTTGAAAAATCAGGATGTCACTTCCTTCTTGAAAATCCGGATGCAATTCGGACTTGTCGATCGGTTCAATATCGAACGCCTTCTTGAATCTCTCAAAGAAATCCTCTTCCACATTCTGGCGCTTTTTGTAAGCAAGTAACACCAGCGTCTCGGACCCGGCCAGTTCTCCGAGCGACTTCATCAATGCCTCAAATGCCGAAGCATAAGGACATGCCACAATATCGGCACCTAAAATTACGTCGTAATGACTATGACCACCAGTCTTCGGGACCAGGTGATGATCCAGATCACCCCAAAGGTACTTCTCAGCAGTACAAATCTCTTCCGAGAGGTTGTTTACCTCCATATTCCGTCGAGTAAGTGCAACGGATGCAGAATCTCCATCCGTAATGACAATGCTCCTGGGCTCCAAGTGGGCAGCTACGATTCCGACAAGTCCCGGACCGCAGCCTAATTCAATGATCCGTTTTCCTTTCACCAGATCTTGATGTGCAGCCAAATAGAGCGACAATGCAATGGCTGAGTCATATACTGAAGCGCCAAATCCTAATGTTGTGCCGCCTCGTCCATCGCTCTGCCAAGCTTGATCAATTCGAATGCATTTACCGGCAATTGGAAACCAACGGGTGGCATCACGTAATGCGTCGTGGAAAGGGTTTCGGAAGGAATAGGGCATTAATACATACGCTGAGGACGCTGTGGATGGACATGAATCCTTTAATTCCTTAGGCATATCTACTGCCGCAAGACAAATGATGTCAAAAATTAGTTATTGAAGGTGTCAAAAATAGCGTCGAAAAAGGCTGGCAAGAACGAACTTAGCAGTTTTTTCTATCGTTTTTTTCTAATGCAAATATTACATTAAAGGCGACCTGATTGTGCACTGCAGTCCATGGGTCTGACTATGTGATCTCGAGAGAGCTTAAATAAATGCCAGGTTGAGCTGGTCATCGAATGGCTTAAGCAGTGGAGCGAGAAGGTTTTTTTCATGTGGTGGCAATGACTCGCGCAGCTTCACCAGCTCGTCGTATTTGGACCCCATCTTCTCCACAATCTTATTAAGCTTGCGCTGGGCTTCAGGACCGCCACCTTCTGCTACCTTGGCCTTGAACGAGAGAAAGTGTCGTAGCAGCTCGCACACGTCGTGGAATTGATTGTACACCTGCTTCTTGAACTCGTTCGGGATGTAATCTGCAGCCAATTTGCCACTCGTAAGGTTCGCCGCAGACGAGGCTGAAGCTGAATCGCTTGTGGAGTCCGAGCACGCCACGACTTCAGCGAGCACGTTAAAGCATGTTTTTGAGTTCGGATACGCGTTCTCCAGCTTGATGGGCGCTTTGCACGTTGCTTGAAACATCTGTGCTGCGTCAGATAGAGGCAGCTGGCGTGTTGTATTGCCATCAGCAGTGCCCTTTTCTGCGTGCTGGAAGTAGCGTGACTCATCTTCCAACGTAAGCGGGTTGTACGGTGGAGGGTCCTGATCGTGTAAATCATCTAGCAGCGTCGCTTCCTCCAAACTATCGTGGTAACCTGCTTTGGGCTTCTTTTTCTGGGGCAGGGTCTGCTGTGCATTCTTTCCTCTCCCTGCCTTTTGTGGTAGTAGTTTCCCTGCATGGGCTGGGTCTAGCACATAGGCACCATGTCTGTTAAACTTAGCAATCGTAATGCTGAACGGGTTCTCCTTCTCCGTCGTCTGTCTTTTCGTATGATGCACGGCTGCATCTTCCTCCGTCATCGTGAGATCAATCAATGGATCCACAATACCACGTGGATCCACGCTAACACCCTTGGACTCTTCTTTCTCTTTCTCCTCATATGTAGTGAACATATCTTCATGTCCAGCTTTTCTGTCTCGATGAAAGTATTTCGACTTGAAAAAGGCTCCCCAGAATTCCGTCTCCGTCATCTTGTCGGGTACTTGACCCTGGTACGCCATGTACACGGCCGGATACTGAATGAAGATCTGATGAATTACCTCTGCGTTCAGGTTATACTTGACCACATTACCCGCTGCATCATTATCTGCTGCCAAGTCCGTCAGAATCGCCGACGTCTTGCCAGTTTTCTGTCGTTTACTGGCTTCTCCAGCAATTAAATGACGGCGGCTCGCCCAGAAATCCTCTTCAGAGATGAGACCATCATTCACCATCTCAATATGTTGTCGTTTCAGTGCTGGATTGGCAGCCAGCAGTGCCGCTCGATGCTTAATCTCCGTGGGGTTGCACAACGCCGCGGCATTGGAGCGCGTCCCCCGAGCGCCATTCTCACGCAGACGGCGGGCAATGAAGTCCTTGGCTTGCTCACGCACCTCAAAGGCTTCTTCTAGACTACCAGATTCTGCTACAAACTCCAACACGAGCGTCGAATTATGTGCGAGCCGTAAACGGATCATGGCCTTGGGACTCGTGAGCGACGATACCTGCTGATCCTGTACGGTGCTCCACGGGACGACAATGGGTGCGTGCTTACCCACAGCAGTCTCAGGTGATGCATCTTCTTCCCATCTCAGTCCCTTGAGCGAGAACTCGGCGCGGCCGTCACGTTTCTTTACACGCACCAATGCTACGAGAGGCCTGGACATGTTGTTGTGGACGAGGGATCCAATTGTATGTAACAAGGCGTCGCTGCAAATATCAGCTATTCAAACAAGTTATGTATTGTTGCACTTCCGATACTATTATGATGGAGCCAGTAAGCTATCGATTATCACGAATAAAAAGAGTCATTATTGTATTTCAAAGGTAATAATGCAGACGTTTTGGCTCTTGCTGCTAGCACTGAGCTGCGTGTATGGAGAAGGGGAATACCATCGTCACACGAATAACTGGGCAGTGATTGTAAGTACATCGTATCAGAGACTCAGTAGCTCTTACTAACAGGTGGACGCGATTGCTATTAGGTTGATACTTCTCGCTTTTGGAGCAACTACAGACACGTTGCCAATGCGTTGTCACTCTATCACTCCGTGAAGCGCCTTGGTATTCCAGATAGTCAGGTTATGTGATGTTTCATTGAAGGCAGGGGATAGAGCTCAGAGACTGAATGACCGTGTGTCTTTAGATCATCCTGATGCTGGCGGACCAAATGCCATGCAATGCTCGTAATTGTTTTCCAGGTCAAGTCTTTAACAGCCGAACACAGAAGATTAATCTGTTGAGTTGCTTTGCTATAGCGTAGCTGATTCGTCAGCATTGAGAGATGTTGAGCAAGCTGCATATCTAACTTGTTGACTGTTCTTTCGGAGCAGGTATGGAAAGAATGTCGAGGTGGACTACCGCGGCTTGGAAGTCTCTGTTGCCAACTTTATTACTGTCCTCACTGGTATGTGACCTACTTTTGAAGTGATTGCACCAAGTCAGATTGCTCATACGTAATGATTGTTACAGGCCGCCACGAACCTGGAACACCAGCATCGAAGAAGCTTGACACGGACGAGAACAGCAACATTTTTGTACGGATTCTCTTGGTGCTACCATGCAGACGATCTTATCACAGCCTATTTTGATCACGTGGTGTCGCTGATATTGTGCAGCTTTACATGTCAGGGCATGGCGGCGACGGCTTCCTGAAATTTCAGGTGCGTACGTTTTGCATCAGTGGAGTTCGACGGAAAGTGCTTACTTTCCTTTCGGCGTGTCATTATCGAGTCAGGATTTTGAAGAAATGTCCAGCCAGGACCTTGCCGATTCCATCCAAGAAATGCACGTCAAGAAACGGTGCGTGCCGGTTCTTAGATCTTCCCATAGCAGCGCACAGCTTACAGCGCGCAACTTACGCGTCCATGCATATCTATCATGCGCAGTTACAACGAGATCTTCTTCATGGTCGACACGTGCCAGGCAGGTTCGCTGTCCAATGCCCTCGAGTCCCCAAAAGTTGTGACTATCGGCAGCTCAAAGACGGGTGAAAACTCGTACGCGCATCACTCTGACTCTGAGGTTTGTGCACTGCAATTCAGACTTTGTGCTGGTGTTGCTGGTGTTGCTACTGTACTGACTAGTAATTGTTGTTCCAATGCAGTTGGGGCTTGCTGTCATCGATCGCTTTACCTTCTCGACACTGGACTACCTGCAACGTATGAAGGTCGGCAATTCCATCCGCAATGGAACACTCCTTGATCTCTTCAACTTTTACGACCCAAAGATGCTCCTGTCGACACCTGATTATCGAACCGATATCTTAGGGCGTTCTATTGGCGAAGTTCCCATCACGGACTTTTTCGGCTCCATGCTGGATGTGCACCTTCACTTTGATGAAGAAGCGTATCCGATTGAGGCCACACCTGCCGTTCCCATTTCCAGCTCTGAGGCCACGGCGACAACGAGTTTAAAAGACTCTGTCAGTGAGCTGAACGCTTGTACACAATGCAAGAAGGACCTGACTGCAACAGGCGCGCGAAGCTTTGGGTTTACCAGAGATTTCATGGCTGCAGTTACTGCGGTCGTGATTGTTGCCATGTTTGTGGCCATCAAGTCAATCTAACTGAGGAATGTTTCAAACGTTTGACCTTCTCATGACATTTGCTTTTTCATAGACAACGCAACTCCTATAGCCTTCTCATGGCTATTCACGGGAGCAACAGCTACTTATGCCACGAGGAAGGATAACTCACTAACTATTGCTGGGAGCATAATAGAGAAAGGCCCAATCCCACTATCTTAGTTGTACCCTCGTTGGTTGTAATTGTTCGTAAGATGCGCACGCCGGTACATAGAATTAGGATGGTGTGGACTCGTTTCTTCTTCTTCCTCCTCTTGTTCGTCAAAATCGGGGCTGAACTTGACCTCGGTACGTGATTGACCCCGCATCAGCAGGCGAACGAACAAAACTGCGATGCCAGAAATCCATATTGGTGACGTACAGATGCTGAGCGCGATAAGCATCGGGCTCAAAAGCATGACGAACGGCACACACACAACGGCTGTGAAGTGCCAGACAATCCACATCCGCATCTGGGCACCAAGCAGAGCACAAACCAAACAATACAGGCACTCGTCAAAACAATGCAAATCACAAGCGAAAGAGCACAAAACGGGGACAAACTTTGGCAAACAGACTGGTGTCCTGGATAAAGCTTGGCACTACGACGGTCACGACGCGATTCACTGCCGCACTGCTCCACAATTCCAGTCAAACGTGTAGTCGTTTGTCAATTCAAATCAGCCAACTCATCAAGAGACATATAATCTAACGCAGCAGTAGTACGCACCGAATCTTGTATACAGGCTGCATCACTAGCATGATCTTGGACTTGAACGTCGTCACAAGTTGTTTGCCTGGCCTCTCGACATACTCGTCCCGCTCATCGTACGCCTCATGCCGTTTCAAGTGGAGTTTCATAAGCTGCGGTGTGTACGGCGTATTAAGTGGCGTCCGATCATTACGCAGCACTCCCTGTAGATTAGCCACAATGCACCTTTCACGTAAGCAAACAAATGACTCATATTCTTTGCATAATAGCTACAACATACTCGTACCACGAGTGGCTGCAGTCCCACACCGTGCTGCTTGCGTCGCACATAGGGATCCCACTCCATTTCCATATTCAATGGTGTAACGCTCTCCAGACATCGACCATCATTTCCACTCAAAGGCCCTACAGAAGTGACCAACATTCAGGTCAATCTCCATCAATTCAACAACTAGATTGAGTAGAGCCAACGTTGAAGCTGTCGTTCTTTTCCGTAAAGAAAATAACATGTTCAAGACGTACCGTAGACTGCGGCAGTTGGTGCCAATCGTGCCATCTTCTTCTTTTCGTCACCCATACGTCTAGAATTGTGGCTACGTACGTAGAGAATTAACGACTAAAGACACTTAACGACCTCTTCACTTAAGCTCTTGACTTGTAAAGTGACGTGAGAGTGCAGGGTTTGAAATGCGCAGACGGGACAGATCTGGCGGACGGGAGGGGTGCTGCGACCTAGAATAGGCAATCTAATATAGGACAGCAAGTTTACTCCATGACATGGTGTTTGCATATGTTTTCATAGGTAATGTCAACTCTCCAGTTGACTTATAACAGGTTAAATAACATCAGTGAATCAGTTTCCATCTCATATTAGATTTTACAGGTTTACCTACTCACGACCAATAAGCGGTCTCGTAAAGAAGAGACGGGTCCCGCCACTACGCTACAGGACCTGGTCGCGATAGAACGATGGCTCTGGACTTTGACCGCAATGACCAGTATGCACTCACGCTACTTGGTGGTAACAATAGTGACGACCTATACGAAGGCTCTACCAACGGCAGCAGCAACAATTTAGCCAATCGCCCGTATTCCAAGACCACATCCGGCGTGCGTGCGTGTGTTTGTAATCAATAGTCGTTGTTAACTGTTAAGTAACATCTGGTTATATCAATTGAAACTTCGGTTTGAGAACAGGTGGACAATGAACTCATGCGGAATGAAATTGTGCGTCTTGAGAATATGCTCGCCAGTCGCATTGCAGCTCGTGCTAATCAAGACAAATCAAATTTACCATTGGAACGTTCGAGCAAGATTGAAAAGTACGTCGAGGTTATGGAACTTACCAAATGTCTTCGTCGTCAAAAGGAATTTCTACTGAGTGAGAACCGCAAGCGTCAGCGTTTTGCTGAAAAGATTCAGCAAGCCATGCCGGTATTTGTACAAAAAGGGATGAAAAGGTTGAGAATGTAGATGTGACTAAACTGGTGGTTTTTTGTTGGGTCATGATGGTTTTAGCCCTCAACCGATAGCATTCAGTTTATGAAAAACGTCAAGTATCCGCCCGATGAAGAGCTGGAGAAGGCGTCCCGCGAGGCATTTATGGAGATGATGGAGTATCAGGTGAGTGGAGAGGCTACGACGTACATGGGCTGGCAGACGAAGCGCGAGTCCAAATCCATGTACATGCACACGTTTTCAAAGAAAAGTTTTGTCGGTGAGGACATGGTCCGCATTTTTAATGAGACATGGACAATGTTTCACGATGAAACCAAGCAGGAGCTACTGCACCGCCGACGAAGCAAGTTCTGCGTACGTAGCAGACTGTTTTGAAAAGGATCTGTAAAAGGATCTGTAGAAGGATCTGTAACATGGGGATTGATTTTGCTGCTGATGTATTGCTATCTCAGATTTTGAAGAAGTTGAACGACAACATGTACTTCACGCGAAACATTCACCAATTTATTGGCGAGAGCTTTCCACGCCATGCAATGACGTTGGTGTGCCGTATTTCGATCGACAAGAACGCTTTTGCTATTATCAGCAAATCGGTGGTGCCACCCACGAACGACGCACAACACTTAGTGTGGACTGACGAGTGCTACATGTGGAAATTTGTGAGGCACATTGATGCACAGAACGGGTTTGACATCTCGATTCGCGGAAAGTATGGCAGCACTTCGGCTGTCGCAGGCAATCGCTTGCCTATGCTCGAGTCTTACTTCCAGCTTGTAGACTGGGAGTCGCTGGTCATCCGCCCCATGTTCGACTTCACAGCAGCTTAGTTCGTCGATGACGAACGTCTCAGTTGATGCTCGACAGAAGGGCATTCATTCGAAAGTGCCGGAAGTAGCGACAGAGACGAGCGCTGCAGCTAATCTGCTATCGTTTGGCCAAGGCAGGGCAGCTAAGCTTATCTTCTTCTTATTTTGTTTTGGCAGCATTGGGGCCGCTAGCATGCCACCAACCAAGCCAGTTGAAACTTGTACATTCAATCACACATGCGTATAATTTACTTCTCTTTAGCTGTGTTGTGTCTCGTTGCATTTTTGATAGAAGAGTATATGTTTCGAAGGTCAAAATTGTCGCTCTCAAGCCTGATTTGGGCCAGTCCATTTTGCTTCTACTACATCGTCAATACGTTCATGTGCAGCTCACACATATAGTATGTTTGACCCGTACAAATGTGTCATATCATTTGAAAACCAAACACCGAACTGGAGTCAACTAGTTCAATTCCAGTGTCAATATTGTCCAGATTATTACTTGCTTCAGAGCCAAACTAACGGTAGATTCCACTGCTCTCTAGTAGCGGTTCATAATCCTCCACAGAGAGCATCGCAAGTAAACGCTTGTCCAGTGTTAAATAAATGGGTATCAGCTCTGCGGCAAAAAACACTACCACGAGTAGCATCGCTTGTGTCTGTATCATCACGAACAAGAATACCAATGAGGTGACTCGACATAAGCCTTCACACCACAACTATTTTGTGGCCATACCGATGCATTTTCGCGGTGCACATTAAACCATCCCTGGTCACAATAACAGAGACACAACACAGAATAGACGAGAGATTCGACAATAATTCAACACAAGTTTCCGGAGGTGTTGGTTACATGTACCTTGGTAAACGTAAGAAGTGTCATGACACTGTAAAGGATACGTCCAAAGCTCCAAGCCATGACCATTCGGCCAACCCGTTGAAGACGAAGCTCCGCCGATTGCGACTTGAATGGAAATCCTGACAATGACAGCGTCAAATACAACCACGTCGAGAAAATAATGATCGGAAGAAACAGGTCTGCAGCTGCGACCAAGTAAAAAATCGTCGCTGGAATCTGCGTCATCAGTAAATCCACAACAAAGTGTGTCAAAGAGAAGCCGCGTTAACCGATATGAACAGTATAGCGTACAACACTGAGACGATCAGCCTTTTCGTCATCAAAGATCCCATTCTTGTCGTAGAGGAACAGACTCGCGTATAGCACGAGCTGAGTTAAGTACAGACCTCCATTAAAGACCAAGTAAAAGATCATCCACTTTCGTCTAAAAGCTGCTGCAGAAAACCAATGACGCCGTGACTACAAGTTCCAGCGAGCACGACATAGCTGATTAAACTTCAACGTCAACACACCATCAAATCGATGGTATCGTACCGACTGAAAAGCTTCAGCCCAGACAAGAACCAGCAGCAAATACGATGACACAAAGAGAAAATCTGGCAAATTAAAGAGCACGGCTACTACTTTGTTGTAAAAGTCGAGCTCGGTCTGTGCGTGGCTTCCTACCGTGTCTGCCATTGCTCTATCACTGTCGTCTCCTCGGTAAATCGGTGCCTGTTCCCCATGAGCCCATGGATTTTTGTCGGATATTCCAGTAGGTAGATCTGCTGCAGTTTGAGAGTCTAAAATGCAGAGAGTGGAGAACGTGGCTGATCGGAAGAAAGAACCCAATGCGATACTAAGAATTAGCAGCTGGACGGTACTCCACGCCGTGTGTTGGTGGCGTTTAAGTACGCCACGTACTTCCATATACTTGTTTACTGTCATTGCAGTTATTAACACGTAGCACAGTGCGAGGAAGTAGCTGGACATGGCCAGGTTGGCAAGGAACAGCGGCATCTTGAGCGGTCTTAAAGATAACGATACTTTTACGAAACTAATGTAACATCATAGGTAAAACAGGATAGGTTGACGTCAACTTTTGAAAAGACAAGAGCAAGCAAACTTTATTACAATTAGTCTGCTATCACTCGCCGCCATCATCGTCATCATCGACACTCCGTTTCGACTGTCGTTTGACCTTTGCTTCGTCTTCATCAAGAAACTTGATGTCAAAACAATTGCGCTCGGTTGGATCCTTGTACTCGAGTCCTAGAGCAATGAATACATCCACTTCAGATTCGCAGATGACGCTATCACCAAGACGCACTGTGGTTCCGTTCGCTCGCATCACTCGAGTAAGTGCACGATCCGAAAGACTCCAGCCGTTCTTATGCGCAAAAAGCCGCATACTTCGATTAAAGTGATCACTTCCAGTAAAATATAGCATCGCGAAGCCGAAAAAATGTCGAGGGTAAATTTTGATATCAAGTCGACGATACGGGAGATCCTACCAAAATCAGCACATGTCCGTTAGCGTCCAAGCAAGATACAGCAATGGTGCATCAACTAGTATCGTGCACCTTGGAGACACGGCAAACACCCATGTAAGTATCACAACCGCCAGTTTTTTGCTTTCGAAAGTGCGTCAGATCGTCTGTATGCGTTGAAAGAAACCACATAAACTTCAGCCATGTACTTACATTACTTTACATGATATCAAACCAATGATGCGGGTTGAATTACCAGTCAGAAAACCCGATGCATGAAGACGCTCAAGTAGTTCTGGTAAGATATCGCACGAGTTGGCGTCCGGATCGGTGACGAGAATGTCGCAGTCACCAGAAGCGAGCTTTCCTCGACGATACGAGCCACAAGCCAGCGCTATAGCGTTCGGTATCATCTTGTGGACTTCTTCCACGACAGCTTGTTCAATCTGTTGCACTTCAGCCCTGATAAAAACAGCAATGCAACAAACGACATCGAATCTGATTGCTTAAGTCTTCAACCACTGTGAATGAACTTGATAAAGCAACGTACCTTGGAATCTTGGTCAAAAAATCCTCGTAGTGCTTCACTCCAATTTTTTGCTGCGCTGTCAGCATTTCTGTGGCCTCAGGATTTCTTAGATCCGCTACTGTCTTATACCCCATTCCATAAAACTTTGCTGCTGTAACTGGACCAACTCCCCAGATTCGGGCAATTTCAACTAATGCACGCAGTCGTGAGTTGCTCTTCTTTGCATCGAGTTTAGCCAGTCGACCTGTCTCCAGGATTTCGATAACCTTATCTCGTAGTCGCCCTTTTACCCACTGCATATCCTTGAAATCTTTTACACTGCAGACACGATAGCGCGTAGCTTTCAAGCTCGATACAACTTTCTAAAATAGAAACCACAGTAGATTAGCATAGGATAGGACGTTGTCGTCTCCAAACCGTTCGTACCTTGTACATATAGTGCCGCCATACATCCCGTTCAACATCGAGATACTCCATCATCTCCTCCAGTGGGTCCGTCAAATGAGCATTGAGATTTTGCTGAATCGCTGTGCACACAACATGGTCATGGGGATCAGTGCATTTTTATGAAGAGGTGATCAAGATTTGACGCAAAACCAACCTGATGTTCGTTGGCATATAAAACCTTCACCTTTAACCTTTTTGGAACTTGATGTCGCTCCCTCGTTTATCGGACGAAAACCTGGGTTGTTCTTGTAGAAAATAGGTGTTCGTTCCTCCACTAACTTCTTGTTTTTTTCGTTCAATACACCTTGTTGCTCGCGGAAGTTTTCACTATTGATCGCCACTGGCGGGGCACGCACAATTTCTCGAGTATCCGAGTTTTCCGAATTTGAGCCTTCGTCACTATCACTCTCGCCGCGGTTGCTTTTATTCTGAGCTCGTTTTTCTTCAGCAAGTTGTGCTACATCAGCGCAATGCTGTTCGTGTTTTACCGCTTCGTCTTGAACTTGCTGCTGCTCAGCCCATGTCAGCAGTATTCCTGGAGACGGGAGCTTCTTCTTTTGCAATAAGTACACGATCCATTCTGGAGTGTAGACCTCGACATTGGGGGGAGGAAACTTTGCAACGTGCAAGAATTGTGCTGCCTTGTCGTGCTTGAGCTGCGCACTTGCAATAATTATGTTAATGTCATTCAGTTTCATTGCGGCTGCATTACCCGATCTAGCACTAGTCCTCACTTGCGTTTCCACCACATTTCCACCTAGTTTCAAAACTATACCTCGCAAAATTTCCAAACGTTTGCGACCCATGTCGGGTCCAAGTGGGATCAAAAGAATGCGCTTACCATGTAGCAATAGCGTTCTAGAAATATCAAGAGATCCAGTGTTTGCTGCGAGCTTTGATTTTTTAGCTGGGCCTTTAATCTTGCGTTCTGCAGGTCGCTTGTCTTGTTGTAGGGCTCCATGCTTCTCCAGGTTGCGCATATCGACTGCTTTCGGTGTTCCTTCCGTCGTTGGTCGTCGCTTGTTCTCGAAAATGGTGGCAAAGTTTGTAACTTGGCGCCTCGTCCCGTTCGAGTTCCCGATCACGTCGGTTGCAACAGCAATGTCTGTCTTTGAACGTCGACGTTGTGGAGGGTGAAGTAATTCCTCAATCTGATCGAAGTAGTCGCGCTTCTGCTGTGGAGAGAGTAACGTTACTATGTCAGAAAGCATCATCACCGTGAAATCGAAAATGGTAATGGACCAGTTGACAAAACATCGACCAACGACAATTTCATCTACAAACGAGGTTCTAAGGTGTTGTTTAATGTTTACAAGTCACAAGCGTCTCTACAGCAGGTTTTGTCGGTGGTAGCGTCTCCGCTGTTTTAGGTGTCGACACTATGATGCTTGGCAGAAAAGAAGTAGAAGACAGCGCCTGTGGCTGCGTAAATAGCAGCGCAGATCACTCCAATAACCACTATGGTCGCGTCGTAGCTGACTCCAAAGTCGGTATAGCGTGGTAGGACTACTGCTAGTACAATACCCACGATATTCTCTACACATCGCCAAAGGTGGAGGTACACAAGTTTGTTGCTGCGTAAAGCTGGAATGGATGATCCATTTTGGGCATCCAGTTTCGAGCCGTCTACGACAAATAACGCGAAGAATGGGAAGAGAATGACTGCATGTAGCTGGTCAACGAAACGACGACTTTCGTTTGCCAAGCTTAGCTTTACAGCCGAAAGGATGGCAAACAGCGTGATCACGCTTCCAAAAACGAGGATTGTCAAGCCCTTGGTCATCGCCAAAAGTAAAATCGCACCCAAACGGAACACGAACTGGCCTATGAGGAAGACGAAAGCCAACACCTTCAGGCCAGCTCCATCTTCTTTTGCCACATACGCCGCTGTGCCGCGCATTAGCGACACAAACGTAGTGATCACGGTAAAAATATCAATGAACTGCCACTTGCGGTAATGAATGGTAGCGTTCGCCTGCAAGATAAACAATGGAATATCACGCACGATCACTTGGATAAATGTAGCGTACATCTTGCCGTCCTCGAGCTGCTCCGTCCGTTGTCTGGCTTCTTCACTCGCTTCCTTACCGCCAACGTCTTCGGCAATCATGTGCGTCCATGTCCAATCTGCATTGTCATCTTGGTCTGCATTATCTTGGCTTCTGGCTTGTTTATTGCCTCCGGTGCTCTTGATAATCGATGTACTGACCGTAAAGATGGTCTCGACGAAGACGCGCATTTGGAGTAGTCCGATACCGAAACCCAGCACCTTGTTGATCCATTTGTTGGTGGAGAAGCGGTTCGGATACAAAACGTCAATGCGAAGTCCTACAAACCCCATGACGATACCATTGAAGACGAGAAACGCAATCGACAGATAGTACTCTTCCAGCCAATTGCGATTGATGTACTCGTAGTTGAGGATCACATCCGTCACCACCGTTGTCAGCTCATATGCCGCACTTCCAACTTTAAAGATAGTGCCCAATGGCATCACGATGACTTGTTTACTTACAAATTAATTGTGGTTCATTAAGCAATGGTTTACACCCACAATAGTTCATCATGCTGTAAACACCTGCTGGATGGGTACATCTCAGGGTATATAAAATGTCCTTTCTCTTATCTTCCTCATTGGTAAAAAAGAAAATACTACTTGACCATCACTCTAAGTGCAACTTTCGCATTCCTCAAAGATGCCAACTAAGAACACCGCGGACCAGCATGCAGCGCTTGGTCTGTCATTCACGGCACTCTGCTCCGTGTTAAAAGCCGTCGAGTCCACGAGCAAAAGTGATAAGAAGCTGGAATTGTTATTTAGTGCCAACTTACGCGCTCAAGTTGGGGAGGGCGATTTGTACCCGCTTATTCGCTTGGTGTTGCCTCAATTGGACCGAGATCGGACGTATATGCTCAAGGAGAAGAAGATTGCCAAGATTTACATTCAAGTATTGGGACTGGCTCCTATTAGTAAAGATGCTCAGAAGTTGGAGCACTTTAACGATCCCAAGATCGTTGACAGCAAGTCAGTAGGGGACTTTGCAGCTGTGCTCTACGAGGTCGTGCTTTACCGTAGTGGGACAAGTAAATCCAAGCTGAAGCACACAATTCAAGATGTAAATGAGCTGCTGGATTCTTTAGTTCAAGCTGATAGCAATACCGCAAGGAAGAAAGTCTTTATGAAGCTGGCAACCGAGTACACTGCAGAGGAGCAGAAGTGGATCATTCGTGTGGTACTTAAGGATCTCAAGATTGGACTGAGACATGAACGGGTGCTACAGTTTATTCACCCAGATGCTATGGAAATGTACAATCATACGAATGACCTGCACAAGGTTTGTACAGATTTACGCAACTCGGCTGTGAGATATGTGCCTCAACTGGAACCGTTTCAAGTCTTTACACCGATGCTCGCGAAGCGAGTGAATTTTGGAGAATGCATCAGCGCCATTAACGATGATGTATTTGTGGTGGAGCCCAAACTAGATGGAGAGCGGATCACGTGTCATGTGCAAGGGAAAGAAGTGCAGTTCATTTCGAGGAACGGGACGAACTACACGGAAAACTATGGGCCGTCAGTTAAACCACATGTGTTGTCCCAATTGGAGCCTGGAGTGGATTGTATTTTGGATGGAGAGATGATGGTGTGGGACAATAATGAGTATCGGCTCCGTGAATTCGGACTGTTGAAGAACACTGCCAACGCTGCGCGCAAGGGAGAAGCAACGAACCGATGGTTATGCTATGTTGTATGGGACGTGGTTTACCTCGGCGGAGGTCCGAAAGCGAAACAACTGATACGGGAGGTTTTTAAAGGTCCTGGTGAAATTAGTACCGTGATGGGGTTACCGCTTCATGCTCGACGAAAATTGTTGCTCCGAATACTTAAACCGCTGGATCACCGGATCATTATTAACGAGCAGAAGCTCATCAATGACAAGTCAGCAAAAGATAGGCATGAAAAAGTCATGGCTGAGGTAGATCGGCAGGTATCAAATGGAGGTGAGGGGGTGATTATGAAAAATTTGAACGCGCATTATATGTGTGGAGAAAGCAGTAGGAAGGCGAAGAAATGGCTGAAACTGAAGCCAGATTACGCAGGCATGACGACAGATCTGGATGCTATCATTGTTGGCGGATTTTATGGTACTGGGCGGCGTCGTAGTGGAAATGTGTCGGTATTCCTTCTTGGTGTACTTGCACGCTCGTTAGATGAGAGAGAGGCAGCTGAAGCAATGAAGCTAGGTGCTCCATGTCCAGGGGTATACACATTCGCTAAAGTTGGTACTGGATATAACCTGGATGAGCTGGACCAAATGCGTCAAGAGTTGGAACCGTACTGGCAGCCATGGGACGACGACAATATTCCATCGCACTTGAACGGTTGGAAACCACAAAAAAGTGATCTGAGGCCTGATGTTTGGATCGACCCACGACACTCGAAGATTCTTGAAGTGTACGGATTTGAGCTGTCATTTTCAACTCTGTACCAGACTGGACTTACTATCCGATTCCCTCGATGCAAGGCAATACGAAATGACAAGGAGTGGTACCAGTGCATTGATCTTCAAGATCTCAATGCTGCTCGTGGAAGTCTTTCGACGAAGCGAGCGTCAGAGGTAGCTTTTGGACAGAAGAGTACTACAAAACGTGTTAAGAAACGCACGACAATTTCAGCTCGTCGTCCTAGTGGCGTCCTTCAAGGATACTCCCGAGCGGACCTGAATGGTATTGAACAAGAACGGAACGTGTTTGAAGGAAAGGAGTTTTGCGTGCTACCCGGAAAATACGAAACGCCTCCACCGAATATTGCTTCGACAATCCCTGACGGTATCGTCGACGAGCATGCTAAGCAATTATCAAAGCAGACTGTTGAAAAGCTGGTACACTCTTTCGGAGGTAACATTGTGCAGAACCCAATCGAAAGCACAGATTACGTCGTGGCGGCTGGAGATGCTGGGTTCAAGGTAGTTAATTTGAAGAAGCAAGGCTTGTACAACATCGTGCACATCCGGTGGATATTTAAGTGCGTGGCTGCTTCACGGCTGGTGTCACTGAAGGCAAGCGATTTTGTGTTTGCAACAGCTTTACAACGAGAAATTCTTGCCAGGGAGTATGACCGCTACGGAGACCATTTCACAGAGCATGTAAATCCAGAAGAATTGAAACGCATTATGCGAGAGGTTTGTGTGAATGTTGGAAAAGAACAAGAGGTTTCGCGCTGGCAAATCCAGATACAAGACTTGACGATGGAAGAAGCGGAAGCGATGGATTGTCCATTTACTTTCTTGTCCCATTGTGTGGTGTATTTCCAGCACTGCATACGTCCAGACGGTTCGTTTTCTGCCGCAAACACCATCACGGCTGGAGAGACAATGTTTCTAGAACAACAACTTAGGCTGTACGGAGGGACAGTTGCGCACGAAATTGATTCCTGTGTTACACACATCGTTATCGAGACGGCTTCTCATCAAAGCCAAAAGGACCGACTTTTGCCGGCCATTCGGAACTTGCGCCACCACGGTCTACCAGAACCTCGAGTTGTTACGACGGAGTGGATCAAGCAAAGTGTGGAGCAGCAAATTCAGCTTCCCGATGACGATTTCGTTGTGCATATTTAGGTACCCGAACAGATCAAATGGATATATATAACAATTGAGCCGTTCATCCTTTTGCTAGTCTATAGGAGGTGAGACGCGTCAGCACACAGTCAAAGTCTTCGGAGTAGAACTGGTTGTCTTCCTCGTCAGACGCAATGCTCGCGGGCCATCGCTCTTCATCTACAAGGTGGCCCACGACTTGCTGCGAAGTGAATTGACACTCAAAGTTGGACGTGTCCAGTTTACTAGCCAACTTCGGGACGATCGGTGGAGTCACCCGTTTCGTCTCAAGACGGTGCCAGTTTATATTTGTGAAAAACGGGTGGTCCAAGATGTCCTGCATTCCGTTGGGGCCACTACCTAAACGCTGGTTTACATTCTTGTGAAGCCAACCAGACAGAAGGTTGCAGAGTTCGGGTGAGAAACGATGTGGAAAGCTTGGCTCCTCCTCGTTGATCTTACGGACGAGCAAGGCACGATCACGCCGAAAGTAGATGGAGGGTATCCTGTCAGCAATGTATACACTACGCAACCGAAGCTCCATAGATCAGCTGCTAGACCGTAACCAGTAACCAGTACCACGCACCACCTCGGGAGCGTTGTAATTTGCTAACCCGCAGAAGCTGGTGCAGCACTGGTCTGATCGGTGCATCTGCTCGCGCGCAAAGCCGAAATCAGCAAGACGCACGAATTCTGCTTCGTCCAGCAGAATATTCTCGGGTTTGAGGTCTCCATACAGAATGCCACGCTCGTGAAGAGAGCGCAAGGCCAGCACAATGGATGTTGCATAGAACAAAACATGATCCTCAGGAAGGCGGTTTTTCACGAGTTTCTCCATGCAGGAAGTACATGTCGCCACCAGGACAATACTCCAGCACAAAATTCAGTGCGTTCGGAGTTTCAAACGAACAGAACATCCTAGTGATGAACGGGTGAATAAACCGAACAAAGTACCCTCTTCTCCGTTAGTAGGCGTTTGGCCTCACGCATAGTGTTCCCGTCGCCATCTATACCATTGATGCTGTCTAGCTTGGACTTGTAGACCACCTTCACCGCGAAGAGACGTCTAGGACACGCACGCAAACGACACAGAAGCACCGTGCCGTAAGACCCCGAGCCAATGATGCTAATGATGTCAAACACGTAACGCGTGGGATCTCGACAAACTGCATCCTCTTCTTCTAAATCTTTCTCCACAGTCTTTTCGTGTTCGAAACCTTCCTCAATAGAATCCAGTTACGTATTCGATAGCAACGTGCTCGACGACGACGACGACGACGCGGAGATTGTCGGCCATGATACTTTAGACTTCAGGCCGTTGTATGAGCCGTTACGAAAGCAGTCCCAGTCATCGTTTCCGTTCGATGTCTCGGTATCCAGTTTTGGCGTCACCGTGCTCGATGACGAGACCACCGACGGTACGGCCATTGCCTTTAGGAAACTGTAAGAGCAGTCCCAATCTTTAATAGCCAATTTCTTCTCGCCTGGCAAGTCGTCGCCGTTTCCCATAAGGTTCTCCAGTAACAGCTTGGCGAAGGAACTGGCGAGAAACTGCACGAACGTCCATGTTTTGACATTGCCCCACCTGTATCATCTAGACCCTCACTGGGACTCCTTCTAGTCTTGTTAGTCGGCGTCCACTCACCAATTTCCGAGCTGCTCTTTACTGGGATCGAAACCCATGCGTGCTCTATGTCTGTTGCGCTACTGGCCGTAGCTGCCTTTACTACTTCTTCCTTGATTAAGCTCTGAGCAGTGTAAAGCATCGACTAGGGCGCTGAGCTCTGGTGCAAACGAATGGAGCTGAGAGTTTTGAGTGTTTTGCGGCTGCTCTGTTGCTGTCGGGAACGTAGGAAAAGTGTGGTTGGACGAGACGCGTAAGGTCGCCTCTTCCAGCTTTACAACGGATCGAAATATATTAAACTGGTTTTGCAATACTCGATCTCTTCCTGCCACCGCATTTTTCGACAGCTTGGGCTTGCATGTATTGCGTTGCGAAAACCTTCTTCGTTGATCTACCTAGCACTAACAGAGGGAATAATAGAAGATCGGCAACTTGAGGTCAATGGACAAAGAACATCGCACATTGCAGCTTTTCGCTTCAACCAGTCGTCAGTTGTTGGTATTCTGTATATCTACTTACCGATACGAAATTTATAAAAGTTGAAGATCAAGTGGCCTAAAGTTCGAGCCTAACAATTATTCAGCTGGGACTTTGCTGGGTATTATTGCATCAAACGTAAGCAAGGGATAGCTATTCTGTTCTTTTGAAAGCAAAAAGTCGGGAGCCTGCAGATTCTCACGCAAAAAGGTAAAACTGTAATTTACAAAAGTTTAATTGTGCACGCACAGGTTGCACGTAGCAGCTGTATTACTCATTTCAAAGATGTGCTTCTGTATCTAGCTCCCTTACTTCATGCCGTTGTGGGTGCCGCGGCGCATCAGCCATGCAGTTTGGAACGACTCCAACATGACCTTTATTCCGCCAGTTTCATCAGGCATTGGTACCAACACCTGGTCCAGAGCCACGAGTAGCAGCGTTGTACAGCGCCCACGACAAAGACAGACCATCATCCATGGACGCATTCTGCAGTTTGCGCAGCGAGTTCATCGGATCCAATATCGCCGCATTTACCAACAACAACGACAACCACGTGTTGTTACTGTTCGGCGTGGTGACGATCTCATCCTTCGACAAAATGTCGGTCCATTCCTGTTTCACAAATGTCGGCGTGCGATATATCTCGCTGATCACACACACAGGGATCATCTGGATGCCATGGATCGCATATACCTTATCGAGGAACCACGTGTTGTAAAAGACCTTGTTGTCGAAGAAAATACCAGTGACGTGATTCGCCACGATCTCGGGCGGGTGAATGGTGTTGTCCGAAGTCATTAGAACGTACGTACGGATGACATGCGCATTCAGGCGCAGCATCAGACTTCCTAGATCCTCCACTGCCTTGCGACCAGTCACTTTACCCCACAGAGTCATGCCATAGTAAAAGTTGATGTCTTCAGACGTACTTTCCTCATCCTTACCCTCGTTGAGCAGTGTGACGCCACGTGAATATGAGAGGCCATTAAACCAGGAGAAATGACGGAATCGAGGGAAGTAACAATCATTACGGCTCGGATTGGCTACATCACGCAGCATCAACCAGACTAGAGCTTCCAGCTCCGGCATTCGACTCCAGTTCGGATTCAAGTACTTCATAATGGCCGCCGACGTCACGTAATATCCGTAGTGATAGTGGTGGTCATTGTAGATTCCATTGCCAAAGTCCACGTACAACTCACCAGTATCAAAAATTGCTCTGGACACAATCCCTCGGTACAACGTTTCGTAAACAAGAGGGGGAATCAAGGTGTTGTTCAGCAACGGCTCGATCAACTTCTCTAGCTTCTCCAGACAAAAAGCCAGCAACGTCGTGTCCGGACCCACCACCGAGCTGTCAGCAGCCATAAGACACAATGACGCGTACTTTTGGAAATACTTACCGTTAAAGTACCAAGTCGAAGCATTCATGGACCAGTTGGCGGTGATGTCGTCTTTCAGCGTACGAAGCATGTCAAATTCCTCGACAACCTTGGGCGTCGGCCTCCGAGCTGGCCAGAAATCGATCTCGATCTCCGACTCAGGCTCCACAAAACACCATTTGTTCGACACTTGAGCAACCATTAGACCCCTTGTGGACGAGTGTAGTGCGATAGCACCTGGGGTACTAGCTGTCGTAGGAGACCCAGTCAGCGAGGCTACTTGGTGTGGTAGTGCAAAGTGCAGCAGACCCACCGATTCACACGTGCTCCCTTCAACATCCCAGTTGATCGAGTAAGCAGTGCGCGACTCCATCGAAACAGTGCCACCGCGTACCAAGCAAGGTGCGTACTTATCGTAAACTGTGTCGTCGGCGCCCTCTGGAAGTACTGCTAGTCGAATCGTGCCATGGTACCCTCCGTCCGCGACGAGCGACGAGCCCGACTCGTCCACCGAAAACATCACCGACTCCTCCACGCGGAACGAGATGCTCTCGCTGGCGTACAGCACCCACTTCTGGGTGTTGTTGAGGTGGATGACATATTTACCTGGTGTCGAGTTGTCCACAGATGTGATGTTGTGTTCCGTGTCGATGCGTGGGGTGAGACCGTCATATTTACCTGAAATGAAAGCCATGCCGTTCAAAAGTGCTGAATCCATGCACTTATTGGTACTAGGGTCACAAATTCGGAGGTTAATACCCATGTCATCCCAAGAATATATTTCGTACACGGGCTTCGTCACGTTGAACTCTTGTGCTGAGAGCGTCAGGTCATTGTGGATGTCATATTCGTAGTATTTAACGATGCCATCAACCTCCGGTGCTATCTCACGATACGTGAAGGGGTAGTAAGCCATCAGACCATATGGTTGTTCTTTCGGCAGCATCATTGCGTACGGCTGAGCCCATACCGGGTAGTTTTCGGATAGGTTAGTAGCAGTGACGTGAATTAGATTTCCCCACCACTTGTTTGTCGGGATCGGTTGATTAAGGGCCTCTTTAGCGACGTTAATGATCGGAGCAATTGTTTCGAGGCTACCGTTTCGTTTAAAGAGTTTCTCGGATGGTTCATCAAGGCTAAAGGGTGAGAAGTATCCATCGAGGGGCGAGCCCAGTGGTCCTTCCATTAATGAGTTGGACGCCAAGGGGCGACTTGTATTGGCATCTGTCGCTAGGTTGATGATGGAGGTCGCAGTTGTCGCAAAGTTGATGGTTAAAGTATCGATTAATCCTTCGACTTGGATCGAACCATCGTTATTTATATCATAGTTGACAACCACTTCCGACAATGAGAAATCAATGCCTTTGCCAAAGTCAACGCCGGGGGGAAAGTCATTTGCGGATGTTACCGCAATGTTTTTTCCCAATACCGCAACGGCCACTGCAGCAGGTGAGACCGAAAATCTCATCTCAAATTCGGCTTAAGAAAAATGCTCTAGTGCAGGAAGTGCCAAATTCAGAAATGGAGAATGTGGACAGCAAAATAGATTGCTGGATTGGCGTAAGGCCCTGTCGTCACCGCCATCTTTTTCCAATCCCATGTATGAATCGGAAGATGAATAGCCATTACGATGGGACGGCCAGAAAAAGGTACTGCTCGTCACACTCAGATGCTCAAGCAATCTCATTCTTTTATCCAGCTAAGGTAAAAGAAGCTAAACGTATTTGATCTAGTGACAGTTTGCTAGGTTTTTACAATGGTAAATGGATCGTGTATAAATATCATAGTAAAAACAACGATCAGGCTTCAATTTAAAAGATCAAAGCTTTCATGTGAAAAGTAATTAGGCAATACAAAACCTTCCGTCATAGAGGGTGAAGTGTGTGTCGGGCACGGGTGCTGCATTCAGACCTTCCCACTTTTGACTGAAGCTACACAGATTGGGCAGCTGGCTCGCCCAATGAACACGTATGTAAAAATAATAGCATACGTTTTTACACACATAAAACAAATTTTGGGTTCATGGAATGGAAAAAAGTGACAAGAGTTACGTCTATGGTTGCCTTAGCACTATCTCGTACGCACTTGCAGATTAATGCACACCCGTGCACCTTCTTAAGCGGAACCTACGATCAGATATTCGGTCAACTGCTGCTTCGACAATTGCAGTTTAGCCAATGTTAGCGAGAAGAACAGACCGTCTATTTCAAACATTAAGGATTGGTAAGATGTCTGGAGTGCTTCTACCAGGACTTCGTCATTCTTCGCCTCGCTGGCTCAATCTGCTGGTTCGAGACGTCGGGCGTCACGGGGGACACTCCGAAAAGGGCACGTGGAATCGGGTATCCAGCCCGAGGTGTAAACAGTGGCTCAATGATCGCAACAAGCGCCGGGCACCACACCGATCAGTCCCGATCGACCGCTGATGCACCTGGACGGGCCGATCAATTCACGTTCTTGGCAAGTTCACTTCGTGGGACCGAGATTCGCGCTCAGCGATCGAATCGGCGTCTTGAAGGCTGACGTAGAATAGCAGGAACTATTGGGGAAAGAGGGAATGATAACCGCGGTCGTCGATCCTCTCCCCCCCGGGGGTAACAGGGTTGGTGCTCCCCTTACGGTTCGCACGCTGCGCTTGCCCCCCATAGCGCACGCAGCAGAGGGAAAACCTCCCCCCTCTTATCCTGGGCCTCCCGTTGGAGGGACTTTCCGCCCTGGTCGGAGGGGGCCGGTTGACCGGCTCTTTGAAGGTCTTCGTCTCTTGGCCGTTGTTGCTCGAAGGCGCGAATTGGGAAGTGCTGTTTAGCCAATGTTGACGACCATGACGTTGACAAAGATTATCAGTGTCGTCAGCTGCATGTCAAGAATCAGTCAGGCTGGCCCGTCTGGAGCAGCTGGTTTGGTAGCCGGCTTCACTTATAAGGCACCACCTGCCCTGCATGTGCTCGTCTTTTGTCAAACGGCCCTTTTGGAGTGTCCCCCTTAAGCACAATGAGCTAGTGTTAGGAGATCGACGTAGTCATGACAGAAGATCAGGGCATTTCTCACAGACATATCTTTATAATCATATGGATTTAACAGACAGTCTGATTGTCATCAGATGCCAGTGAAGAGCGCCATCGAAGGACCGATCAGTATTGCGAGCCCAAACCTGCGACAACTGCATAGGGATCGACGAGCAGTGGATACTTCGCCCCGTTTAGCACCGAAGAACATCCGAGAAACTCTTGCAAAGAACCGGTAGGCTCCCAGAGCTTGCTCCGATCATGTTACGGCCACGACTTCCAAGTTCGGCACGGCGTGTTTGATTTTGTACTGTACCGTCTGGCAAGGTTGGACTCAAAAATCAAGTCTTCAACATCTGGTAATGAGTCATTCATTACCAGATGTCATCAATGTCATTAGTAATGACATTGATGACTCCGCAGTCATGACGCCCAGTTCCATTCCATCATCACCATACTTCAAGCGATCCCACTACAGCCGAGATTATCTTCGCGTATAGTAGTATTTATATCGGTTAAGTTTGTCACTCTCGGTAGGTAGGTGTCCTAGCAATACGAGCACTCAGACGGTATAAAGCCCCAGGTACCGACGGCTAAAGAAAGAAACGACCTCATAAGTCATTCGTGGAAGCGCTCATCATCTCACTACGTAAGAAAGAGGATTCCGACAACGCCACGAACTGTCGACCGATTTCCCTTTTGCAAACAAGGTACTAGGTAATTGCGAAGGTCTTGGCGACGCGTAAGCAGTCGTGTCTGCCGTATGTCATTGGTTCATCTTATAAGGCTTTGCTCACGGACGACAAATGCAAAAGACGGTATCAATGATGCTCGCTTACCTCCAAAGCGCACGTGAGGAGAGCCCTTTAAACGCCGACGCCAGCCGCGCCATTGTCTGACTGGATTTTCGGAGTGCCTATGATACCCGGCGACCGAGACTTTATGGTAGAGGCGCTTCGACTATTTGGATTTGACGGGAAATTTCACGCGCTTATTCAACGGCTTCATAACAACACGACATCACGGTTTACAGTCTTCGGCAAGCTTTCTTCAATTCGGGCAGTTCGTTCGGGTATTCAGCAGGGTTGTCCTCTCGCTCACCTTCTTTCCTGGTAGTAGTATAGATATCAACAGTTGCAATACAAATGTCGCCCCGACTTCAGGGGCTCACACTTTGAGGGAGCACACATAGAAAATCTGTAACGGGCTCAACGTTACACGTACCCGTTAAGTATGCGATACTTAACGGGCAGGTCTCAAAAGGTCGTAAGTACTTAAGACCTGTCGCTCGGGTGTGACACACCATGTGTCACACCCTTGCGTATGTGATATACACTAGGTGTATTCACATTGATGGGGATGACGCCCAGCTGGGACTAGGCGTCATCAAATGACGTCAGCCAGTTACGTCATTGAGCGAGCTTGAATATATTTAAGCTCGCACATGTAATAAATTTGGATATTCAGTATTATCAACAATCCATTTTGAATTCTAATGCTGTTGGATGCGCATCTATAGAGATGGCACCCATCATTACATATTACCCAATCAGTAGTTAGATTTATATTTAATTAAATTCTATTAAATATAAATCAGTCTTGAATTTGCTAAAACACCGAAGCACCACGCACGAGAAACTGAAAACCTTCTACGTGACGTCGGTGCCTTCTTGTCTTAGAAGTTCGTTGTACTTCTAAGACAAGAAGGCACCGACGTAAGCGAGAGGCAACTGGTGGTATGACTGCTTAAGCAGTCGACCAACCACATAACCACCCTCGCACGCGAAGTTAAGACGGTCTAACCGCTTCCTCGCTTGTGCTGAAGGTGTGTGCTAGTAGCACGAGGCAACTTCGTAGAAGTGCCCGTCTACACTTGGTAGCACTAGTAGTCCTTCCCACGACCCGTCTCTCTGAGCGTGTGTGTGGTTAAGATGGTCCTTAACATGAAGTGATGTGGTGGAGTGGGATTCGCAAAATTTCTGATGTGATCCCGACTCTCCACTGGCGCCCGGACGACCGACTAACGGAGGGCGTACCCCGATTCCGTGTGTATAGCCGTCCTCACCTTGTGTACCTGTCGGTAGGGCGGGTTGCTCTCTTCTCGGTGGACATGAGTCGATGTTGATCTTAATCGGGTTAGGGATAGGGGGTTTTGGTGATCTTGTGGAAATCTTCACAAGGCCGACCGAGTACTTGTTTGTTGATCGTACCGATAGATCACGATTATCCAATAAGGCGAAGCTTGAATCTTCTGAACACTTGAGCACCACTTGATCCGTCCTGCACTTGCTTGCCTTGCCCTTACTTGTTATTACTGCGTCCAATCGCAGTTGAGTTGTTGTGTCGAGAATTTCTTCTCCTGGCCAAACAATCCAGGGTGCACTTGTAGTCGATATTCTCGGCGTCGGGAGGCCAAATATCCTGCCCAGAATAGAGAAGTCGACACGTGTACTTAGAAGCAAATTGAACTCTGTTTAATGTTAACCAATCAAATACCAAAACCTATGATCTTGACTATCTGTAGCTCAGGATCTGTTGCCACGTATGGCCTTTCGGAAAAATCAGATCTTGTAATGTGGTCCACTCCAATATCGCCGCGACCTGGATCGCTACCTCGATTGGATCTAATACCATTTTTGTATCGGATCGCGGTACTTAGTTTAGTATCATATCGCGGTACTAAATAGTTAGTATCGGATCGCGGTACTTATTTTAGTATCGGATCGCGGTACTTATTTTAGTATCGGATCGCGATACTAATAATTAGTATCGGATCGTGGTCCGCCGAATCACGACTTTTCCTCTTCACCGTTTCTCGGGTTATGTGAGATGGTCCATCTATATGACATGTCATGTCCACCTCATTATAGTCTTCCATAGCGACGTGATCCACACCAGATCGTCTTCCACATACGTGGATGTACCAAATCTCCTTCTTAGTTCACGCGGATCACCATCGAAAGATACCGGAGATCGCCATTGCGTAGTCTCTAGGCCATATTTAACCCACATAGAACTTCAAACTCCACCATTCACTGTTTTCCATCCCATTCCATCCCATTTGCCATCATCTCGAAACTTTTCTGCGAGATCGCGATTCATCAATATTGGCCATTTCGGACTTAACCGAAAATATGCGATCACACTTCGCCGAATTCACTCCTTCGCTTCGCCACAGTGA